AAACGAGAACAGGGATGTCAACAGGTCTACCAACGACGGAGCATGTAACAGAATTATTGATGACACGCTGAAACTGAGCACCATGATTACGACGACGGTACTCGACTCCTTCAGCAAACTCGTGTCTCAGAGCTCAAGGTCCTTGAACGCGACAGTGGTTCCTAAAAACTCTGTAGGTGATTGGACCCATGTCAAAAGAGCTGAAAAGGATCAGGCGTCACAGTCTAAGTTGAACATCCCAGCTGTTGAACGGAAGTCAACTGTTGATCTGGTCGCACAGTCTACCCCAAAGATTGTTCGTCGGGTCATCAAAGAGCCTAGGATTCATAAACGTGCTTCGACCCCCAAACAACAAGGTGCTAAACCTGAATGCACCAGAAAACCAGGGACGACTATAACGGTTCGTGATGACTATCTCGTGGTCATGAACTTCAAAGACAACCCTGACCTTCCTCTCAGTTTTCAGGACAAAAAATGATAGGATGCTCTGGAAAGGATTGAACAAGAAACTTGGACTTCCAAGAATAAGGCCTTTGACAGTCACACGGCTCACTCGGGGAAAGAAATCTAAGCATAAAAATCACCCGAGGCTACTTCGTGTAACACTTAAGAATGCTACCGACGTAGACGATGTCTTACTAGCGAGTCATTTACTGAAATCAGATGGGAATGTAAAAATACTGCCTGACATACCGTATTCTGAGAGCAATCTTATCCGGAACATACCCAAAGAATCTCGCGATCAGATTTCCCGCGGGAGGAATATAGTCGTGCAAGGTATTTCGGAAAATACGGACCCTACTCAATCAAAAATTGACATCAGGGAATGGAAATTCATCAAACAGTCCTTGAGGCTCAGACACATACTGACTTATCATGTGACGAGAATAGCCAAGAAGGATTGTGATTCTAGACCCCGTCTAATGAAGACAACCTTCACATCTTCCAATATGGCGGCCGCAAATCTGGGAGCATTTCGTGCCAAAAGACGTCGAATTCCACCTGGAATCCACATGCACCCAGATAAGCCATATGAAGCTAGGACCAAACACAAAGGCAAGTTGGAGCTGACCATTCCACTTGTGGACTATCTAGACGATAAAAAAACGTGTAAAGGACAGGGCCTACCACCTCAGCAAACCTCATATAGGTGGGCTACCTGTCCATTCACATAAGGCTCATACAGACAAACAGGACGAAGCCAACGCGTTCCAAATTGAAAGCATAAACTGCTTATATATGAACGCCGCGAGTCTACCAAACAAACTGGATGGACTACGTGAACTTAGCAATGCTAATAAGGCCCATCTGATAGGAATATCTGAAACCTGGATATCTTCTCAGTTCTCGGACCATGAGTTAGCATTACCTGGGATGACTTTGTTCCGCAACGACAGAAAAACAGGAATTGGGGGCGGAGTAGCCATATACATAAGCTCTTGCTTGGAGGTGCACCAAGTTCACAACCTCGAGTTTAACAATCTTGAGGAATCCATATAGTGCTCTGTAAGATTGTGTAGTACATCGAGGTGTCTAGTCGGAGTCATTTACAGGAAGCCAACTGCCGACATCGAGTACGATAGTCGTATGCTGGAAGGACTATCCCGCTCTACCGTCTCGGTTTCACACACATCCTGATTCTAGGGGACTTTAATCTCCCTAGAGTCAACTTCGCGGAACACACGCACACTGGAGGCGACAACTCAATTGAAGCTCGGTTCTTCAACCTCATCGACGACTTGGGACTGTACGAAAATGTGAGGTCGGCAACTCGTTGGAGAAACAGCCAGACACCATCGCGCTTAGACTGTGTATTCACAAACGAAGAATTCCTAGTTGACAACCTCTCAATCCTGGCTCCCCTGGGAAAGAGCGATCATGCCGTCATAGCCTTCAGTTTTGTCGGCAAAAACAAGCTAAGTTACCCCACCAATAACTTGTGTTGAAATTCTAAACGGCTGAATGTGCCAGCTCTACACGACTATCTACAACAGGTGGTTTGGGATGTTCACCCCAAACTCGATGTGGACGGTCATTGGGACTTCTTACTGCACACGCTCTTACGTGCTACCAACGATTCAGTTCCTCAAACTGTTCCCAAAAGCTGCAAGCCACCTACAATAATCAAGAAACGTACCCTTCGCCTGCTAAGGAGCACAAAGCACTGTTGGGAGGAACACAAACGAACTGATAACGACGGAGCGTATAGGCAATATAAACATATAAAGGAACATATGCACGAAGGCTATAGGAGAAGACAGGCTTCAGTAACAGACAAGGCTTATGGACAAATTTTCCTCCAATCCTAAAAGCTTATTCCGTTATGCAGCCTCTCTTCGTCAAACCAAAACTGGAGTTTCTCAACTGGTTGGTCTTAACGGCCCGACCAACAACGATGGCGACGCCGCTAACCTTCTGGCTGAACATTACTCCCAGACATTTCAACCGACCGACATTAACTTTACTGATGACAGTTTCGTTTGCAATTCCACGGAACTTTCCGAAGCGAACCTAAGCGCTGACTTGGTGTTCCGGAAACTGCAGCACTTAAGATTAGACACTTCTCCTGGCCCGGATATGGTCCATTCCGCCGTATTGAGGGAAGCAGCCTCAATCTTGGCAACGCCGCTTAGCGTGATGGTCTCACACCCGCTAAGTCGAGGAAAACTACCGGAAATTGGAGGCTGGCTCACATCACACCAATTTTCAAAGGAGGTCGACGCAGCGAACCTTCAAGTTACCGACCGGTGGCTCTTCTCTCCATACCTTCAAAAATCATGGAGTCCCTGATATGCGATGGTATAAATGACTGTTTACTGTCCTTACATTTCTTCTCACCCCAACAGCATGGTTTCAGGAAGGGTTGCTGTTGTATTACCAACCTGCTGACTGCGGTGGACAGATGAACAAGCATCCTTGATCACAATGGTGAGCCACGAAATTAGTCCGAGGACTCAAATCTAAACCTTACGAAGAGCGCCTCCATTCACTTAACCTTTACCCATTGGAGTATAGACGTTTTAGAGGTGACCTTCTGATGGCTTACAGTATCCTTAACACTTATGGACATCCTCTCAAACACGTACTTAAGCTTAGTTCCAACACTAACCTAAGAGGTAACACCCAAAAACTGGGGACACAACATAGCAGAACGGACTACAGACACAACGTCTACTCCTCAAGAGTTGTCAAATGCTGGAATTCGTTGCCGCTCGACCTAGTCCAAGCGACTTCCCAGGAGTCCTTTAAGAGGCAACTTGATCTATTCTTAAGGACTAAGGACAGCGTCACACTATGATTTACTAATTTCTTTTCCTCTTTTATTGTTAACATACCTAGGTTCCTGCCTGGAGGATTTGGTGATCCCCTGCTACCAGACACGGAAGCCTGTTAAGCGAAAGCTTATTCTATTCCGTCCACAACCATTTGAACCATTTGAACTGATGCCCTTCAGTGAATTCTCCAGTTTTCCTACATGGAGACATCAGTGTTCCGCTGCTACAAGACAATAAAGTTCGTTAAGTGAAAGCTACTTCTATCGCGTCGAGAATCATTTGACCTATTTGAATCTACTACAGTTAGTACCTCCTGATACGCTTTGAATGGACGCGGAAGAACTCAATGAGACGGTACTTTCGCACTTTTTGTCGAAAGTCTCGGTGTCATTAAGGTAGTTCAGTTTACTCTCTACTTTTTCATCCTCATCCTTTCATGTATATCTGTCATTAAGTATGATCATTAGAAAACTGCTCTTTAACTTGCGAAATAACTTTATTTTCAAGGCGTTAATGTATTTTATCATTTAATCAGTTGACCGACTACCTGTTGAATACAGCTTACAAATGTATATCAGTGGACCATCTCTAAGAGTTGAATCGTTTCTTTCGTGGTTTTTCGATTTTCATGACTTTATGTGGTATTTATTCCGATAACCCTAATACTGCAACTTGACTGTTTGAGTGCTTGTTCCGTATTTCTGTTTCCCAACAAGGACAAGCTGAAGACTTAACCGAAACTACCTAGGCAGAGGTAGCACCAAGTATTAAGGCTGAATTTCACAGCTCATGACTGAATATCTCGTAGTCAACATCGTTAAGCTAACATTTCGTATCTGGGGGGATTTTAATTTCTGTCTTAATGTTTTGTATTGAATGTACTTCACGGGATTAGCTGTGGAGCTCTCTACGTGAAGGCTATTTCGCAAGTTTATGTGTGTATACATACTTGTGGGTATGATTGGAGTTTCCTCATATGGTTTCAAAATCTCGTACAGTCGTATGAACTCAAGTAAACCGATATATTAATTTACATGTTATCCTATCAAGTGTTTGACCCGAAGTTCGTGAGTCTGCTTACGTAAAACTAATCAGTTAGTACAATTTTTCAAAGCTCGAATTAGAACTGCAACTGTCAACATCAGTTGTATATTATGTCGAAATTTTCTAACCCGAACTTTTGAAAGGCTCATGCACTTCCATCAGTCCGAGTAAAAAGACCATCCTTCAAAGCCAAGAGCTTGCCAACACTTGTTCTACTCGATTTCAAAAGTGAGCGGACTTTAAAAAGCTATTGTTTTGTCTTACAATCAATATGTAATGAAATTAACTATAATAATGTAAATTTAATCAAACTTTAGACTTGTAATAAAATTATCGTTGAGTTTGTGTTAGGCTAACTCTAGAGTTGCTATGAATAGAAATTTAGGATTCACACATAGCTTAAATGAGTAAACCATGAGTGAAATTAGTCTCAATGCCTAGTAGTTCCAGTTTATGAACTGTGTTAACAAAACTGGATTACTTAACATTTTTTCGGCGTTGCACAATTGTGAAATGAAGATAATCGTGTTGGGGAAAAAGGTCTAATCTTCGGTACTAATAATGGAAATTTTGTTTTCAGTAAATGACTATAGACTAGAGAGTTTTGCATCTTTAGATCAAGGTTGCGTAGTATTTATATTTGATTTTGTTTCAGGTTTCATTTGCTCTTGGTCCTATATAATGTCAAAGCTACCAGTTCTTGCTAAAACTTTAGTTGATATGGGACACAAGCGAGTTAGAAAAAACCCTCGCGTTTATCAAAAAGCGAAAGGTTTGTGTTATATAGAATGTATTATTCTGTACAGGAAAATTTCTAAAAGTACGACAACCTACCCCAGTTGATCCAGTGGAAGATGCACTTTCCAAAAAATGGTGGGTTGATTACCGACTGCAGTATGAAGCCGTCAGGTTAGTCTAGTAGTTACCGCCCATTTGCTTTTAGGAGTCTTTTTCGATATGAAATCAATCGTCATCAAATGGAAGCTATTTCTGCCTCACGAATAGATCATGAACATGAGCGTAATAGACGTCATGAGCTAACAGAAACCTGGAACAAAGAGACCTTTCTACTAGCCACAGATAAATTTGAAAGGCTCTTAAAAGCATTGATTGATAAGCAAACTGATAGGCTAATTGATTTTGAAAATAAACAGGCAAAGTTATCAGACAAATTAAAAGCTGACCTTGACACAGTAGCTGTAAGTTTGATTGTTTATTGTTAAATATAGGTGTGTATATTAAGCATTCTTTAGTAGAACACGTATCCTGACATTAGGTACGGTGTAAATAAGCTATGTCTATTTTTGGTTATTCACACGTAAATTCAAAGTACTTTTACAAGACTGGTAGGAACCTGTGCCTGCACTCACCCTTAGTTGTAAGCCGTTAAATGTAGCCGAAAAGTTTCTTTATCTGGGTAGCTGTGTGTATGTCGTGGTGATGTGTCAGCTGACATCAGTCTACGTATAGTAAAAATCAGAGTGGCCTATTGTAGTCCGGGCTATCTTAGCAGCATTGTGGTGTAAGTCTGGCTGTAAAAGGTCCGATTCACAATGCTTCGGTGAAAGCATTTCTGATATGTACTTGGGAAATCTGATTTCTCAGAGCTGAAGATGTTATCAGACATGGCGCAAAATAGAAATAAATGTCTATCGTGCTACATTTTCCTTCCACATTCACAAATTTGAAAGCGATTTCTTTAGCTGAAATGATTCTTTTTGGTTATGTTTTCCTCAACTAAACTGTTTCTCCCATTATTTACTATTTTCGTTCATTTATTGCTGTTCACTTGTTTTTTTTATATTATACTCACTATCCTTCCTCTGTTTCTTCACTACCTCATTTCCACATTTGTGTGCGGCATATTTATTTTCATGTCCATTTGTGCTGAATCTTTGTGTTTAAATAAATATGTAACTATTTCTCGTTAACGTTGTCTGTCATTTTTCACAAACTAGCTGGTGCAACTCAGCAATCGAGTTCGAGTACGTTTATATGAAGGTTAGTTATGATAAATAGTTGCCCAACCGGAAGTAGTTAAAGCATGGTCTGAGCTCACTAAACTAAAATGAAAAGTTAAGTTTTAAAAGCCAATTCATTACTCTAAATGCACCATTAAAGTATTTATAGTCTTTCTGAAAATTATCTCAATGATCACATAAATTTTCGAAGAACCTTTCATGTTGGGATACCAGAGATAAAATGACATTTTGCATTAGTCCTTTGGAATTATAACTGACTACCACACACTTATTTTTTTACAGATGTTAACTGGACAGATGATTACGGAAACAAATTTGGATGATAAAATTGACGAAATCATGAATTATGATGTTGTTGATTATAACTTCGTGGTTGATCATAGTGGTAATATTGTTCGAGGAACAAAAGCAATAAAGAACGAACTTCATAAAGTTGGTGTGGAGGAAAATATACAAGAAGAACCTTTGTCTGCTACATCATGAATCCTTGTAGAAATTTTTTCTCACATTCTCGGGCGTTTTTGTGCATGAGTTTATTTGATAATTAGTATTATATATACTTTGTACATAAAAAATACACCCATTTATTTCATATTGTATGTTCACTTTAAAATTTAATCATCTATTCATCTGTACGTTATTTTGAGGGTAAACTGTTCAGAATATATGATGCTCTTGTTTATGTTATATTAAACTAAATAGGTGAATCCCAAGTCCCTCTATGTTTCTATCCGGAATCCCTTTAAATATCGACAGTCACTACCAATGCAGTTAACTTAACAGTTGTTTCTTGTTCATTTTCAAAACACGCTTGTGGCAATGTTTCGGTTGAATATCATATTAGCCAACATTCAACTAATGGAGCTGAGTTTTAAAATTCAATTTATCTACAGAAGTTTTTGAGGCTGAATAATATCATTCCTCACTCAATATGTGGCTTATAGTTCAGTACAATTAACTTTGCAAAAAATCCATCCAACACAGGTTTGTCACACGGTTTTTAGCAACTCTTTTTGTCTACCTAAGTGCCTAAGTTAAAGTAGATGGAGGGAGGATCTAACCCACAACCCACTGATTAAAAGCCGATTACTATAGTCACTAAATCACCACTCCCTAAGTCATACGATGTAGTGACTGGTGCTGTATCAAGCCAGACTATTCTAGCTTATGGACAAACCAATTCATTCATTCTTCTCCAGCTCCATTTTGACCTTGTCACTTATTCGCTTATTAACCCTGACTTTTTATATGACTGTGTGAGTATATTGCCTACTCTATTCATCACATGTCCATAACTTATTTTTGTCTGACTACAAATACTGAGTCACGTTTGGTTAAATCGAATTGTCTCACATGCTTTCTCCGATCCGTTTCGCTTCGTTTCCCTAACTGTCCGTTCAGATAAACGATTGTATGAAATATACGTATTTAAAATCCTTTCTTGTGTTTGGTTTGTTTTAGTTTCGTTATTCACTAACGCGAGTTAAGTCGTTAGTTATGTACGAGGGTAACCAGGATGTATATTTCGATAGCAATCAGCGGTTCGATCTAACTGGAGTCAGATACAGGGCCACAACATAACCCGTGTTTTTTCCTACATTCGTAAATAGATTAAATTATTAAATTGATCTATTGTGGTTAGAGGATATGTGGAGTAGTTGCTTATATATTCACGCTTTGAAATGTTGGAAGTTTCAGGAAACCTTTAATTTATATTGTCAAAAACTACGAACCTGAGTTAAACCAATCACCGGTTATTGATACTCATGTAGAATGACATTGTTTTGTTAAAGTTGTACGAGCTATGGATAGTTTAAAGTTTGGCAGACCAGTTAAACTTGATGGTTCACTTCTGGAAATCTTTAAGGATGGTTTCCCCGTCTTAATAGTAAGTTTGGTTGATATACTAGCTAGAGTCTAGGATATGGATGTTATCCTAGCTAACTAGTCTCGATCTCTGGTTATGATGGCTACAGTAGAATTAGTTTACTTAATAGTCTTTAAAATATTGGTCTTAATATTCATCCAATACGCAACTAAGGCTTTTAAACAGCGAAACCCTAGTTCCGAACCTTAGTGTGTTTTGATTGATCACATATTAATGCTCCGCCAGGTTTCCGAATTAATCCATAAATTCTACTTACCTGTCAGATACTAATTCACAACACAAATATTGCGATCAACATTAACCAGGAATTTGACATTTGAATAAGTCTTTCAAACCAACCAATTGAACGATAATTTCATGCTCACCAGGGGCTAACTTCACCCGACTGTAGCTGCTACCTTGACGCAGTGGTCGGGCTTGCCTATCGTGATGACCCAACCGAGCTATATTGGCTGGAACATATGTTCCTGTAGGTTCTACCATGCCAGGCAGGTCGATTGGAGAACGGTAAGACTAAAAGCAGCAACTCAAGGTCTGAGGGCGAAGTCGTACTGCTGACTGTAGAGGGGTGTGACAGCAGTAAGGTGTTTCCCTCGGACAACCAGCATGACAGCGATGCTGCCTTCCCACAAGGAGGGGTGGGGTTAGAAAAGGTCGACCCTAAAAATGTCACACCTTACCTCACGGATTTCCGTCTCCGGCGGTAAGGCCCTTTGAAGAACGGAGCTAACACGTCAAAAACCTTCCACAAAAAGGCCGTGCGCGACCGGCCTCAAGCAGTTGTCCCTTGGGCTCTGCGGTCACGCTCCCAGGTCGTCAAGACCAACACTAATCCAATTTCCTTTTCAGGTTCCTCAAGAAATACCCTTCCACGGTGTGGGCAGCCGGGAAGTGACATCAGCCCTCATACCCGTAACAGCACACGAGACCAAGTTGGTCACATTCAAATCCTTCCTACACCTCCTAATACCTCTCTTATCTCCATGACTAACCCTCCTCACGTCTCTTTATCACCTCGCACCGCTAGGGCAAACGATTCGAGTACGTGGAACGCTATTCCTGGTCTCCTGAAACCACGCTCTAAACTACACGTAGGAGCTTTTAACGTACGAACACTGTGCCAAATAGGACAGCAGGCTTCCTTAGCTAAAACTTTAGAATCTCGCGCCATCGATGTGTGCTGCGTCTCCGAAACGCGCATACAGGATCCGAGTAGCGTCATTCATTTGACCTCACCATGCCAAAATAAAGAACCGACTCGATTTACGCTTCGTGTATCTGGAAGCCCTGATTCTGCTTCCCGTGGCCTCGCCGGCGTAGGTATAGCATTGAGTCCTAGGGCAGAACTAGCTCTCTTAGAGTGGATCCCAGTAGACAGTCGTTTGTGCGCTGTCCGACTGAACGGAACAGTAAGAATCCGAAAAGATAGGGACACTCGTCGTTGCCTCTTCGTCGTCTCTGCCTATTCTCCCACTGACTGCAGCTCAGATGATGTAAAAGATGAGTTTTACAGAAAGCTTTCCGACCTTCTCCGAAAAGCTAGGCGCTCGGATGTAGTAATAGTGGCCGGTGACTTTAATGCTCAAGTAGGTAAACTAAGCGATAGGGAAAGACACCTAGGTGGATCTTATGGTGTCGTGGCTCAAAGAACAGATAATGGCGACCGTCTGTTGCAGCTATGCTCAGATAACCGCCTGTTCCTTGCAAATACTAACTTTAAGCATAAGGAAAAACATCTTTTAACATGGCGACCCCCTAATTCGTCCCAACGTTGGACCCAAATAGATCACATCGCTATCAGCCACCGATGGAGGGGCTCGATAGAAGACTGTCGCTCATTCTGGAGCACATGCTTAGATTCAGATCATGCTCTAGTGCGAGCGCGTATTTGCTTGCGTCTTACTGGACGTAGGAAAGACGCTGCAAGGAAACCTCTTAGGGCCTACTTAATGATAGTCAAGCTAAGAGTATATTTCAGGAACAACTAGGAAAACAGTTAGGCAGCCATGTATGTGATGCCCACCCCGAGGCATCATGGAATGATATCCGAAAAGCTGTGGAAACAGCAGTGATATCTGCTAGTACGGTAAACCGTAAGGTTAAGGAGCGACACTGGATCCAATCTCATCCCATCTGGCTCTGAACATAACGAAGAGCGGAGTCAGCTTAAACGCAACCTGAAAAGAAGCCTACGCAATGATCGTGAACAGTGGTGGGTAGCGAAAGCAAGAGAGATGGAAAAACCAGCAGCAATAGGTAACAGCAGACAATTGTCCAGACTTGTTAAGGAAACCGTTATTAGGAACCCGACTGTTAGCGAAACTATCTCAGAAAAAGATGGAGATATTATACATTCTCAATCCAGGAGATTGGATCGATGGGCAGAACACTTTAGGGATCAGTTCAACTGGCCTTCAGCCACACTTCAGTGGAAGTGGAAGTAATCCCATCTGAATGGTCTCAATCACTGATTGTGCCAGTCTATAAGAAAGGACAGAAATCCTCTTGTGACAATCACAGAGGAATCAGTTTGACAAATATAGTGTCTAAAATATCAGCTTCAATAATGCTTCGACGCCTAACTAAAGCTCGTGAAGAGCAGACTAGAGAAAACCAGACTGGTTTTCGACCTGGACGTGGTTGTATAGACCAGATATTTACATTACGTCAGGTTCTAGAACACAGACACACGTTCAGACGTCCCACAATCGTAGTACTTCTCGACCTTAAGGCAGCATTCGACTCTGTTGATCGTAAGGTTCTATGGCAGTGTTTGTCACTGAAAGGAGTACCAAAGAAGTACATTAACCTTGTAAAGGCTCTCTACTCGAACACAACTGGTCGAGTGGGAGCTTATGGCGAACTGTCATCAGAATTGATTACCTCAAGTGGTGTTCGTCAGGGCTGTCCATTCTCTCCATTCTTGTTTAACTTTGTCGTCGACGTACTTTTAGAGATAACACTTTCCTCATCTAAATTTCCAGGGGTTGAACTTCTACCAGGAGATTCACTTGTTGACTTAGAATATGCCGATGACATAGTTCTATCTGGTGAAGACGCTGACAAAATGCAGAGTCTTCTGATCACTGTAAGCAACAATGCAGATATGTTCGGGATGTGATTCTCCCCCTCTAAATGCAAAATGTTGCTTCAGGAGTGGGTTGCATCGACACTCGAACTAATGATAGGGAGTGAAGTAGATGGGCGTGTTGACCGCCTCACTTATCTTGGAAGTCTCATCAGTCCGTGTGTTTTGGTGTGTGACGACATCTCAGCACGGATACAGAAGGCTCGACTAGCTTTTGCCAACTTGCGTTATTTATGGAGTAGGCGAGATATCCATCTGTCAACCAAAGAACAGGTTTACTGCGCAGCAGTTCGTTCCGTCCTACTTTATGTCAGTAAAACATGGCCGGTAAGAGTAGAGGATATTCGTAGGTTACTAGTATTTGATCATAGATGTCTTCGAAATATTGCTCGTATATCCTGGGACCACCGAGTAAGTAACTCACTTGTTAGGAAAAGGGTAGTAGGTAAGGATGGCAAATCAATTGATGAAGTAGTGGAACTTCATCAGTTGAGATGGCTGGGACACGTGTTACGTATTCTCAACCACCTACTGCCTTGACGTGAGATGCCTTCTTGTGTAAGAGTAGGTTAGAAGAAAGCTAGGGGCGGCCAGACCAAAACATGGCGCAAACCCATGAAGTCACTGACAAGTGGACTGTGCCATGTTGGTAGGTGTAAACTACCTGGTTGAGATCCGCGAGATGATAGCAACCGATGGTTAGGGACCTTGAATGACATGGCTCAAAATCGTTTGCAATGGCGCAGTTGTATCCACTCTTTGTATTCTTCCAAATTCTAATCTTCTGAATCCTTCATGTCCTTTATTTTCTTCCCAAATTTATTTCACTGTATTATACTCCTTGAATAACATCTCCAAACCCTAATCTTTCCGATTACTGCTTATACTCTTACTACCTCTACCACTACGGGATTGGAATCGATAACTGCATCTCGAAGTTCCAAGTTGTTACTGACTGAAGGGCTAATTTTAAGGTAGATTTCCGACGTTTCACTGGTAATTCATGACTAGTGCACTTCAGCTATGTTGAACTTGAGACAGATATTATTAATGACAGTAAATGTGACACGCTATATCTAGAACTGACCGAATTGAATAAGCGTCTACTATTGATTAATTTCGAATTAGTAGTTAGACGACAACTTTTGAAACTAAGGACTTAGTCTTTGGTGAGATCATAAGTGTTCACAATGATAAGGAGTGCTAAACTATGGTTAAATAACTACCCAATGTTTCTTGGTTTCCATCAGTTCTCCAAGTGAAGTCAGTATGTGTCGAAATCTATATCACAGAACAAGGAAATTAATCCAATAATATCATTTTTATCTATAACAATTAAATTAATCATGATTATAAGATCAATCATGAAGTTTGTATTTCAAATATGTAAGTCAATGCATATTTTTTCCCTACTTAAAAATGGGATGGTATCATTACATCTTTCAAAAAGTAATGTCTTAGTCGATACTCTATAATAATTATTATTATTTAAAGAAGAATTCGTTTTCATTTACATACGAATTTTTAGTCGCCTATTAGGTGATGACACACGACTGTAAGTTTTATTTGTATTCATAGATGGATGGTGTTTCGCTTCCAATTTTTGTAATTGACGTGTAACTCGACCAATTATTTCAGCTTGTGATAATGGACGAATTGATGTTGGTGTATTTTCATCATCATTTGTATCATCTTCATCTCTTAGAGTATAGAAAAAAGTATAATATGAAATTTTATATGATTAGTATGTTATAGTTTGATGTGTGCTACTTATATTTTTGATTCAACAAGTGGATTATGCATTGAGAAGTTGAAAATCATCAACTAATTATTTTTATTCTGGATAATTTTTTTAAGCGTGGATCTGTGATCTTTACGGTTCAAAAATTCATTTTTCCACGTACAATGTATACTTCTATCACTTTTCCTATACTTAAGTTTGTTTACATTCAATTTGGCCAAGCCCTTTAATTAGCTTATTTAATAGATAGTGTTATTAGATGAGTATCAATTCAAGGAATTCCACTATTGACCAATATTTTTCTTATCTATGGTTTAATTTAATGTTTTCTTTATTCAAAAATTTATGCTTTCGTTATCCAAACTAAAGTAATCTTTGTTTATGTAAATGAATAACTTTGTAACTCTAGCACACGAGAATCAACATTTTTGGCCAGAATTAAAGCTTTGAAGACTGAAATAAACTTCGTCAATAAAGAATAGAGCATGTCTACAAATAAAATATCTTCAAACATAGCAACGGTGACAAGATTTGAAGAATAAAATGGCTTAATTTCATTTCTAGGCTTCTTATCAGCTTCAAATGCTTATAGTCACAAACAGTAATATAATTACTAACAAAAGTTTAATATATTTTATTTAGTGAAGTTGAGCTGGACATTTGGGATGGAACGAGAAGTCAAACTCAGAACCTTCCGTCTCACATGTGAAATTCTGACATCTAGACCACTGTCCCGGGATCCACTCGTATACACGTCTAGATTCAGTCAATCACATTATATACGGTCGAGAATATGATGCTTTTAGTGCACATTGTTGACGCTATTTTGGCGGAGCTATATAGATGCTAATGTGATGCATATTTTATTTACGTTGCGTACATTCTGTTTATAAATCACATTAATACAACATAGATAATGAAAGTCGAACATCAATCGTATCTAGAATAAGTATATTTCTGACGTGCTAATATTAAACGACAGATAGACAATAAAACATTCGGCAAATGTATAGAGCATTAGAGTTTGGCTGTTCACTGATTCAGAGAACAACTGGGTGATCAAGCTTTAATAAGCGCGAGATACAAATAAGTGCATTGAAGGCATACGTACTATCGTACACACATGATCAATACTACACTTGAGTAATTGACAATGTCAAATAAGTGTGTAATAGGATAACTGGGATGATTAGTGTAATTTGTTTCCCCAGAAGTTAGAATAAATGTCTTACACATGTAGCAATATGCACTGCTTCATGATAAAAATACAAAATTATCATTGAGCATGTTTCAGATATTAATTAAGGTTACGGAGTGAGTTGTTGAGATATTTGTTAAAGTAATAATCTTACTGACATGAAAATATAGTGAAAATGCTAGGAATGATAAAAATAAAGAGATATTCATATTCTGGAGTAATTTACATATTATTAGAAGGTATTCATATGATTTATTATTCTTGGATGATTACATCACGCGAGTTGGAGCATACAAATGTGTAAGACTGAAATAAATAGCAATCTTAAAAATATCCACATAAATGTATTTTATCAGAATGGGTTCTTGTGGAGATTTTTAGAAATTTCACTGGTTGAAATCATGAGTCAATTAAAACGAGAACACCATGGAAGACCTGGAAGCACTGGACGGCCGTTTCGTCCTAGTATGGGACTCCTCAGCGGTGTGCATCCACGATCCTGCCCCCGCGAGCTTCGAACCCAGGACCTATCAGTCTCGCGCCAGGCGCTTAACCAACTAGACCATCGAGCCGGCATCCAACGGTGTTAATGTCTAACTTCAACCAATCCACGAAGTGGTCTAGCTTCAATCGACTCATGATTTCAACCAGTGAAATGTATTTTACTCCAATAAAAAGTTTCCAGACATTTAGTTTAAAATTTCAAAAAAATATCCACTTACTGTAAAGACGGTAATACAAGTGATGTATCTCTGTTTGTTCTTACAGTTTCCATGAAATTTGTTGCCAAAGTTATCTTCGGATTTCTTGACTCATCTCATCACTATGTCCCTAAAATGTTGTTATAGAATCTATTTTGTCAGTTCAGTAAATGATACAATATAAACAAATACAGTGATTTGTTTAAACTAAATAGTCATTATGTTTGAAATTATGAATTTATATTATAGTATAGGATGTCGATTACACATTAACTGGAATAATTTTATGGGAATACGGAGTGGAAACTGTTGGAACTAACAAATCCTACCAAATTATTTCATAGGTATAAATACCAAGGTTGGACTTGACAGTTTCAAATAAATTGAGCATTGAGTAGGGAGTTAATAATAAATATATTTATGTTATATCCCAATCAGTGGAAAAAAATATATTTCTGAGGTTTCGTGACTTAATGGAAGCAACTTTTTCAGAGTAAATATTATTGGGCTGTACATCGTTGATTATCAGACTATTTCACTCTGTAAGCCTATAGAACACAAACATGAAAACATCGCCACACAGAAATTATCCGACAGCGTTATTATTATACAGAACTTATTTAAGTTAGATCATGACTGCCAGCGGAATACAGGACATGTACTGATGTTTATATTGGGATCCGAAAGCAGAATCTTATGCTCCAAACATCAACTATCTGGCTCTAATAAAAACTTGTGACCAAGTAGGAATATCAATGCAGCCCTCTCAGAACGTACATAGCCCAAAAGAAGCTGAACAATTGCTGCCTTTAACAACAACAGGAATGATACAGCCCATAACAAAAACGTATGTAAATTGTTAATTAGTTTGAAGCAATCGAACAACCTTTGAAATAAGCCTACAATTTATTAAAGTGGTCTAGAATCAGTTTCAATAAATAGTCACAAAAATCTACGCAAATAAAGTAGCTGATATATTTGTCAAGCATCTTTGATCTTCTTTCCCTTTTTTTCCATTTGTTTTAGTCGTTTAAGATGTTACAGCGTTAGAAATTATATAAATATTATATTTCATAATAACGGTCATTGCAGATTGTTTCATGGATCGATAAATTATTATTAACTAACGTTATTTGATCCTCTCGTTATCACTATGTGATAACATTTCGAATATAAATGTATTTGTATTTAATGAAGGTTATAATGAAATGAAAATAACTCGTTTAGGTAATCTCTGGGCCTCACCAAACAGATGAATCTGGGATTAAGCACCCGATCGCTGGGACAGCCAAGAAAAGCGTGACAAAGCCTCCAGAGGCTCTCAAGTATCCGAAGAGATTCCGTCTAATCAGAACCTGATAGAGCCTTCTAGAATATCAACGTGGCATGCTACGATTGGACAATGGCATAACTTGCATACTTGCGGATTGGCCGACTCATAATGATTTTATACCCAATACTAATAGCTCTAAATACCCCATGTTTTTCTATCCATTTTTGATTCTTACCCAACAACCACCTCCGCTACTTTTACCGTCTTTTGATTTGCGACTGTAGGGTTCCACATATTGAAGTGCCGTTAGTTGTGCACCGTATCTGACGTAAAATGAAAAATTGACATTAACTTATCGGAACAGAATGAAACTCGTATCCCAAACGACACTGATAACTATAACCAACTATGAACAAAATTAAATCACGAGCGATATCAAAGGTGTCATAACAAAACAAGTGAGTGTTCTATCATAGAGTGTTCAGATCGGAAGTCGACAGGAAATGCTGGGCCAAAATTTAGTGCTGCACAGCACTTGTCAGTAATGTGTACGTGCAGTAATGAGGGAATTGGTGCTCCCTGGTGAACTCGATCTTCTTTCACTTGGATCCACAGTCACTGTTGAGGTATTCGGACCACGACTGACTTCCGTATGTTTCAGGGAATTCTACAAATGTGAATAATCGCTAGATATCAAAGGTTTTGAATAAAATATTATTACTATTTCTTACTTTAGTTTGTGAATAACATTTAACTGATAATAATTCATCTACTCTTTGTTCTAATACGCTAAGATAAAGCATTAAATTTCTTTCAGTTATTTGATCACCGTCACCGCCAAGCATTTCGGTTATTCTAGATAAATCACAACCAAGTTTTATAGTTAACTGTTTTATTTCCGTTTTAATTTGATCTAATAATTTATGTATATGTATTGTACGATTTTCAGCTGTATTAGCTGCTTCTTTATCGGACTTGATTTGTGCCTAATGAATGCGAAAATATAAAGGGAGAAACTATAAAGAGTATGACATTTTACATTATACAGTCAATCATAGACATAACAGGATCCGGCAAAAATGTATGCTTAAAAAGTCAATCCCTTGATAAGTTTGGATAATGCAACGACAAAGGTAAAGGTTATACGAACTATGTGACATATATGCTTGAAACATTTCGGACAATCTGATCACAAATATACTTATTAAGACATTACACACGATAAAACAAAAGATCATCTAGGCAAACCGGAACGTAAGAGGAAACCAAGACAATAATAGTAATAAAGTACATAGTGTGAAAACCACGCTGGATAATAAATCAGCACTATCAGGGTAGGTTAGGATGTGAGAACAAACTGTTTCAGGATACATAAAGAGGCTTTCAGTCTTCGTCCAACCAGTTCTTCAAGAAACCTCAGTATACGCCATTTATTTAACACCACAAAGTTTGACTTGATATCAATCGTGCGATCAGTTTCAACCAAATGATTCCCAATGGAGGAAGGTAGTTATCTTCTCCATTTTCTTATTCAATCATTGGGGGTTAACTGTTTTGACATTCATTTAAGTGTGTGATCAGCCACCCTTGCGTTTATATCATAATTGTTCCTCCCGATGTCCGTGTTTCCGCAGATACATGTAAAATTGATAGATATAATGCAATATGACATAATTATTTACTCGATCTTTGTGATTTCGCATGAACATAGACCCCTTTAATGATGATCAGTTGAGCTGCGTAAAATGTCTTACTCATAGCAAATTTGATTTTTCGTTTCGACATAAGACTAACTGAGCCGCCTCTGAATGGTGGAGTATTTACCGTCGGGTTAACAATATGTCATGTTTGATGATATTATTAGCTCTGTATGTTAGTTTAAAGATTGAATTTCGTAATTTGCTAACTACCAAGTGTTTTTAAGAGGTGAGTCGTACAAATGTTTACTGTTGGACGCATTTATCACTGATTCTTGTAAACGAATTTTACGTTTGAACGTTTTAAGTTGGATAGATCTAAATAGGTCGTTGTCAACCTTAAATTTAATCGAGTAAGATGACCTTAGCCTGAATAATCACTGTATCATGTGATCGTATAGTTCTCATACTTTTATCGACCATTATTGCATGTCATGCAGCAGTGCATCTTCACTACTGATGTTATTGAACAGAACGACGTACATTATTATGATATAGCTTGACTTTATAACTCTTTGTTGCTTCTTTTTTCGAAAGTATGACCAGTATCTACTGCAGTCGTGAATTCAGGATTGAATTATATTTAAATGAGATCAAGGTTAAATGAAATTATAGTACGTATCAAACGCTAGATTGATACAGGAACGATAGCTGTATCAGTCTTATGAAGAATAAATTAACAAAGTCCAGTGGAAATTTGTTCTGTCGTTTAATCCCAATGGGATGTCTCTTACTGAAGATAAGCATTCCCTGTATGCTCCCCTAACATAAACATGAGTAAAAAACATCAGTCCTTAAAAAATGCTAGGCAACTTTCTGGCTCAATAACTTTTGATGATATATTCTGAACAGTATGGATTTAATATTACAAAGCCAGTTGCCCATGGAAACGTCATCTGTAGCTGGTCCTTTTTGAGCTAGCTCATTGCTTCCGATAGTTTCATCAATATCATCTGGATTTTGTTCACAAGTTTCTCAAGATGAAATCTTCATCCGTATTGAGAGAAACCGAGAAGCGTCAACAACTTACATATCTACAAGAAAATGTAATTTTATTAACTTCATTGTATGTTCATTTTTCCATTTTTCACTTATATTACTTAGTTAAACTATACAAGGTGGTTATGATTGGATAACTTGGTAATGGTACAATGTTTGTAAAGTTTTCGATTGTATCAGGATGTTCGAATTCACTTTTTTAAAATAACCAGATTAGTATTAGACCAATGAACTTCCAAGTCGAATATATCAGGCTTTGTTTTGTAAAACTTGCCGATAAGAGATCATATCTATTGATTCCTAACAACCAAGTTTCTGCTTTTAGCCCTGATCTATCAACTTCAGTCTGAGAAACCAGGTTAGTACCATTAATCTTTACATAGGATGTGTCTCAATGTTGACCACACAAATGTATTCTTGATTTATGGATTGTCATAATTGATAGATCAATCATTTTACTATGCAAAATAAGTAATAATACAAACAAAAAACGTACCTGTAATTCAGTCATTTTATTAACTCTTTGTCTTTCAAACACTTTTTTTTCTTCATCGTATTCTTTAATTGTCTTCTCTATATTTATGATATTATCATTTAAGCATTCAATCTAATCATATATAATTTGTTTAAGTGTATTAATAACTAGTTATTTCTTTTACCTGATTATTTAATTCAGTCACATATTTAAACATTGTAAAGTTATCATCTTCATTACGTTTATAATATCTAGTCATTTGTTCAACATCAGATTTTCCAGTGATTAATTGTAAACGATTCATTGCTGATTCATATTCTTGAATTTTTAAACTTCTTTGTTGTTGTGCTATTTCACCAGTAGCACCTAAATAAATTTTTGAAAAAAAGTGCATTTAGTAACGATAATATGAATAATTTCATTTAGATATTTAGTGAACTACGGTGAATATAACTATGAGATTTGTTAACGTATCACTAAAAACAAATACTTCATTCAAGTAATTCATCTATGATATTCAATCATTGAGTATAATGTTTACCATTTCGTGAAAAAATAGAACTTTGCAAAATTGTATTTCACTTCATTCTACCTTAATAATACAATAAGACAACTAACTAGATGAAAAAAAATATACGTAAATATGGGCGAATTCCTTTATTGTTATTATTTAAAACAGTAGTAGTGTGGTGCGTGCTACTTATATTGACATAAGTAGTATATAACGCGATTCAAGAATGTAATGTCTGGCAGCAGAAGATTGGGAAGATCAAGAAAGGAAGAGCGGGAATAAAAAGCAACTAGTATAGAAATGCAAGAACGATGAAGTCCGAGACAATTATTGAACATTTTGCAAATTGGGTATTATAGTATGGTTTTTCGGTTGTCCTGTGTTCTCCTTCACTACAGTAGTAGTAAATATGGAAGTGATTTCATACGGTTCATAAATTTCAAATTCAATAAATTTTGGTACCACAGCAATTCAAAATAAAATGTATTTCAAGATGTTAGATGATTTGAGGTAGTCAGTAAGAAACTCTGAAGCTAGTAAGCATTAGTCAACAAGGTATACCTAGAACCTTAAAGGGATTAATCCAGGTTACACAGGTTCACAGTCTAAGATGTTATTGACCAGCTGACATCCCAAAACAGAGCAAAAAATTTTGAGTTATTTAAACTAGTGGTCACACTGAGAATTGTTCGGTAAATTCTTATCCATATTAAAGCATTAGATAAATATGAGATTAGTTAGTATTCGGCGATCAATCAATTTTGCAACGTAACTAATTAATCATTAGATGCAAAAGTTGGTAACACCATTGACAGCAATTCACAAACCTATAGAAGAAGGCTAAAGTATTGTCAACTGCCGTCTTAGTAATATTAACTACAAGCGATTGGTAATATTAGGTAACATAATTCAGAGTTTAATGCGGTAGTTAATTTATAGTTAAATATTCAGTTTATACATTCGATTTTCATTTGGCTCATAAAAACTGGATCTTTATTCTATACGCTGTCATACCGAATGTTATATTTTTTCCAATTTATTTGATCAATCAAAATCTCTAATTATGTACTTAATATTTAACGCAACTACTTTATCTGAATTATTTTAAAGTGAATAATAATATTCAATATATATCATGTTCAAATAAACGTCTGTGAATAAGCCAGTACATTACCTATCAATAGTATGTACAGAGTGAAATTTCATAAAAGTATGTCGTAAAGTTTAATAACCCCTATTCTCGAATTAACAGATTTGGTACAATTATTGCAATCGATAGTTAGAGAACTTGAATGATGTAGTTTGGAATCGGTCAAAATGGAACACACGCATTCACTTTCTTTTCCTCACTTTGATACTGGGTTTCAATATAATCTTATATTGTAAATTCATGATTTTTCCGTGAATCATATTTCTTTCTTTTAATTTTTCCTATCACCTTTGTTTGTGACACTCCTTTGATGAGTCTATTTTAAAAAAATAATAATTTCATCTCGTTGTGCTGAACCCATGTATACTTGTACCAGGTTCCGTGTTGCTTATATCTAACCGAAATAGAGAATAACAACTTTCTTTTAATTACATAATATAATACATTAACAGTTTAGGAGTTGTGGAGATTGTTAAGATTTGATTGAGGTCATGAACCGATTGATGTTAAACCACTATTGAAAACCTGGAAGCACTGGACGGCCGTTTCGATCTATTTTAGGACTCCTCAGCAGTGCGGTGACGGTCCCTCTCGCGGGATTCGAACCCAGGGCCTTCAGTCTCGCGCGTAAACGCCTAACCTACTGGGCTACTGAGCCGGCATCCAGTGGTGTTGATGTCTAACCTCAACCAATCCACGAAGTTGCCAGAACATCTCCCATTGTACTGAGATAGACACCTGTTTCTACCCAACACGGATTAGCTCCACTAGTCACGGCTTCTCACTAGAACTCCGAGGATTGAGAATCGAAGGAATCGGGTTCGAATCCCGCGAGCAGGATCGTGGATGCGCACTGCTGAAGAGTTCCAAAATAGGACGAAACGGCCGTCCAGTGCTTCCAAGTTTTCAATGGTGGTCTAACACAAATCGGTTCATGATCTCAATCAAAAAAAATAATACATTCACTTTATATAATAAATGATTCATACTTACCATATTTACGTCGACGATTTTCTGCTTTCTGTTTCCAATCTAAACGTTCATCTGATTTAATTGTCATAAATTTTCTTAATTGATCATTATGATCAATAATTCTTTGTAAATCTTTCATTTCAGTTTCAAATCCAATATTATCTTTATCATTTTTTTCTTTTAATGCATTAATTTTATTTTTGGCATCCGCTCTTAAATTAATAATAATAATAATAATAATCTTACCTTTGATCATATATAAGACTTGCTTGTTGAATTAATTTAATTTTTAATTTATTTAAATGTATTAATTTATCTTTTAATTTTTGATGTATTGCATAATAAATATTTCGTTCATTTCTAGCACATTCTATTTCATGGCGTATTTTATTATTATATGCTAATGTATCACAAAATTTCATATTTTTCTAGAAAAAAGAAAGATTTTTTTTGTGTGTGTGTGTATGTTTAATTACTTCATGTAAATTATTTTCCATAGTAACTAATTTTTTTTCAATTTGTAATTTTAATTCATTGGTTTCAGTTTCTTTTTTAGTTTGTATCATACGAATTTGTTGTTTTTCTTGGATAAGATTTTCTATTTTACGTGTCTATTTTAAAAAAAAGTAAATATTTATTTATTTCAGATGAGTTTTGTGGATATTATTAGTAATTTCAATGGTTAAGATTATGAGTCAGTTGAAGCTAGATCACCATGGGAAACCTGGAAGCACTGGACGGCCGTTTCGACCTATATTGGGACTTCTCAACAGTGCGCCTCCACGACCTTGTCCTTTGCGAGATTCGAACCCAGGACCTATCAGTAACTCTATGAAGACAGTGGTGAATGTGTCGCTCGATTTCGTGGATTAGTTGAAGTTAGACATTAACACCATCGGATGCCGGGTCGGTGGTCCAGTATTTAAGTGCTCGCGCGCGAAACCAGTAGGTCCTGGGTTCGAATCTCGCAAGGGGCGAGGTCGTGGATGCGCACTGCTGAGGAGTCCCAAAATAGAACGAAACGGCCGTTCAGTGTTTCCAGGTTTTCCAAGGTGTTTTAGCTTCAACTGGCTCATGATCTTAACCGTTGAAATTTATTTATTTATTTATTTTGCTTACCTCATTATCTAAACGTTTTCCATAAGTTTTTAATTCATCAATTTGTAATTGTATATTATCTTGCTCTTTTAAAATTTGTTTTAATTGTTCAATACATTTCATATCTTGTTTTCTATTTTGTTCACTATCTACTAACGTTAACAAACATTTAATTTCTTCATTTTCTTTTTCTAATATTTCTGTAGCTTTCCTAGATTTTGGTTTTGTTTTTGGTAAAATAATTATCTATATTATCATAACATTACTTATATTTTCCCAGTTTAACAGTAAATTCTTCAGTTTGTTTTTGACGTTCATTTTGTAATATTCTTAATTGATTATTCAGTCGTTCATATTCTTCAATTAATAGTAAATCGGTATTGTCTTCTTGTTCAGATTGAGCTGAAGCTGGTCTTGGCATTTTTCTGGAGAAATAATGTTGAACTAGATCTAAAATGAAAATGGTTAATGCCTATAATCGGTTTATCACATTGAACAATAAAAAATAATCGATAATAATACAACTACTTATTTTGCAAAGCGGTTGGAGTCAAGCTGTCGAAACTGACCAAAGACATGGTGAAATTTTGTGTTTTATGGTCTTACAATTTTTATTAAATTTTTTAGACCCCATATTGCAATTACATGTTCTGGGATATTGGTAATTTATTCTACTGTAACAGACATCAAAGAACAGAATGTAAATTAGTTCATAGTTTCCTAGTTCAACATTTTTCCTGTTCGATTCTCACTACTGAATTAGTAGTATAGATATTGCCTTATTGCTCGTCATAGTACCGACTAAACTGAAGGAATATGTGCTGCTTTTTAACGCATCAAAAGTTCGACTAAGACGCAATAAAAGTTTGATATAGCTCTATCACTTTTGGTTTACGAATATTGTCTCATAATTCAAACTTCTTATCTTTTTACTTTCATAAGCAGAATGACAATCAATATACAAATGATATTTTATAATGGAAATTTAGGAATGATATACTTCCCAATTTTTTGAACCAGTTTGAATTATGCCAAGAGATACCACATATGAATGTGTAATCTGAAAACCAGCAATATCACAGTGAAGCATATGGCTGTGGGCACATAGTACTGGATGAGTTGCAAAGCATGGTGAATAGGAATTAAAGAGGGAGATTGACCACGAATACAGTGGTCTTGAGTGCTGTTAGAGGTATGAGAGCGGTTATCACTTACCGGTTTCGCACACCGTGGAGAGGTTCTTCTAGATTTACCTAGAAAGGAAATTGGATTTGAATTGGTTTTAGTGACATGAGAGGGTGACCGCAATGCCCAAGAGACGACTAATTGAGACCGGTCACACACGACCTTCGTGTGTGCTATTTTCCTATTAGATCCTTACTTGTAGGAACCTTACCACTGGAGACGGATATCTGTGGGATAAGGCGAGATGTGCATTTTTAGGGTGGACCTTTTCTAAGACAGCGTAGCTGTTATGCTGGTTAGCTGAAGGAAACACCCTACTGCCGTCACATCTCTGTATAGTCGGCAGTACAACTTTATCCTCGGACCTTAGGTTTGTTGCTTTTAGTCTTATTGTTCTTCAACCGACCTGTTTGTCATGATACGATCTTGAAAAACGATTGTCTCAGCCAGTATAGTTCGAATGGTTCATTACGATAGGCAAGTTCGACCACCATGTCAAGGTAACAGAAACGGTTGGGTTATTGATTTTAAACTTTGAAAATGAATGTAATAGGTTGGTAAACACTTGTTCATTAGCACTCTTATAATTTGCTAGGAGATTTAGGAAAAAATATATCAAAGAAAGGTGACGATGTCTCGTGATTACGTTTTGTCAGACTAATTTTAGATTAGAAATGGTTCATATAAAAATATATTTAATTTTTATCTGTTTTTAAAACAAAGTTCTTGCTAGTCAGCCGACTATAACTAACATTAGTTTTTTATAACTTCTCATTTTTCGCTGAACAAATTCTACGAACAATAGGAAGTCAGTGAATTTCCCTTGCTCTAACATTCGTTAAATGTTTAGCAGGGTTCCACATATTTGACTTTTATTAAGACTAAGAAACATAAGTCTCATGGAATCTACTCACATAAATAAAAAGTCTCCTGTTGACTGGAAGTGCAACGAAAACTTCAGTACTTAAAATTACTGTAAACTAATGTTCCTTAAGTAATGATGCAAACTTTCGTTTGATGTATTTTTTATGAAAAGAACATCATCTATTATTATCGAATCTTTCATGATAAATTGTGCTGATGGAAGAAAATAAAAAAATAACGGGTTAGATGACCTTTAATCTGATCTCAATGTTTTATCTAACTAGTCTGATATATGAATAATGCTTCTCAGCTTAACTGTGACTTCATCCACATAGAATGACATGGTTATATTACTTACAATTCAGCTGAAGGTCTCCAAACTAAGTCCTTACTCATGATACTTTAAGAATCATCATGAAACATGGATTAATATATGTAGTTCCCTAGAATTCCATTACGCTTAAGTGTTTTTAAACGATATGAGCTGTAATCGTTTCATCGGTAGCAAGACAATTGCATCTTAAATAATGAAAGAATAGGACAAGGAAAATGCTATAAATAGTTAAGTAAGAAATGTCCTCATTTACAAGTTTCCTTTCATCACAGAATCGAATCTACAGGCAGTGTCACAAAATATGCTACACATTGTATATGTCAACTTAGACGCTGAACTAAAAGTATCGATTACTTTAGGCTAGGGGAAGTAAAAAACGAATAAACCACAAAATTAGTGAGTAGTTTCTGCTATTAATCCGTTCCCACAGTGGCTTAGATAAATGGTCAGTTATGGCTACGGCTCATCACCATTTCGCTACAGCTAAACGTTTTATAACGGTCTGTGTGTGAAAGGGAGGCAAACGTAAGTTCAACATTCACTACAGGCAAGTAAAGCACAAACTAAAAATGTACGCAAGTCACAAGTCCTCGTACCCATGGCGACTGAAATCGATTGAAACGGGTCCTGAAGACCACGAAACATGTAGTTAAGAGTTGGAATAAGCTTGTCATGCTTGAAAAACCTGCTCACTGCAAGATACAGCTAAATTGAAAGTAATTCTGTAGATGTATTTTTCACAGATCTAAGTAAACCTTTCAACATGGACACCCATCCGTGTCTTAAATCAAAACTGGAACGTTATGGAGTCCATTATATAACCATAGACAAGATAAGTACTTTTCTAACGATAAAAGAAAGCAAGTGCGCCTCAACGTATTACTGTTATCTTGTCGCAGGTTACGAATTAGTATAATAATGGCTTACCATATACTGAACGATGATCTGAGTAGTGACATGTCCTAAATCTTCCTCCCATTCGGGACTGACATCTGCGAAGACATTCTGGGGAAGTTTAAAAACCAATATCGAATCTTTTAAGTCTAGATTTTTTATACTCCTACAGAATAGTGAATAGCTTGAATTGTCTACTAGAACACGCAATAACAACCCTTATGTTGTCACGTTCAGAGCGTGGTTGGGTATGCACAATACCACGATTTGTAAGGAATAACATAAGTTGATTGATATCTTATTTTTTCTACTGAAAGCTCAATAGTAACACGTGAAAGTAAGTAGCTTCAAAAATGATCCAGTGAAAAAATCAAGGCGAGTTCCAGAAATTAGTGGGTTAAATAATTAAGGTTTACTTAGCATTGCCGACACTTTCGGTTGACTTCTTTAATGGGTCACTGACCATATATAGAAGCATGCACATTTCAGATTCACATTTGTGTAGTAAGGACAGAAGGACGGCGGTCATTCTGGATAACCAATACAGAGCTAAGGTTTTCAGAATTTAAACCATCGATCCGAGTTTTATATCATACCTTAGATTTAAAAGAGTGACAGAACAATAGTATTCTCGGAAAAATTTGTGCAACTCGACTTCATTTCATTGAAAATTAATTTCAAATTATTTAAGTACAATGTGCTCCCGTTACACATTAAGAATGTACAAAACTCTCAGATATGAAAACCATAAGAGTCAGTAATTTGGATTTTGTAGGGAACGAACATTTACAAAAAAGTAAGAGCAACAGGTAAGACTAATTGAAAAATGTCCGACACGTAACTATGACAAAAATGTAGGTCATTCAAAATTCAATACTAATCTGATGAGATCTTGTACTTTGTTTACTAATATTGACAGTCCTGAAACCCCCTACTCATCCGACATCTCTTGAAAATTTGGGCAGCCCGTCATCATCTAAAGTTCTAGTATATTCGGCGGATATATGAACTTTAGCAGATTTGATGCAAAATTAGTGAGATTTGTTGAAAGAGGTCAGACTAACATCATGTTATCAAGTGGCCGTGGTGCAGATGCATGATGTATTTTGTAGCGTTGTGCCATTCCTCCATAGTCTGAGAGAACAAAAATACCATGACATGTAAAATTAAATGAGTGCATGATATTTTAGCAAGGTACAGACCACTGTTTAACGTTTGGCGTATCAGATCATGTCCGATTCAACACTTAATTTGCCTACTATATTCAGAGTTTGATAATGTTTATTAATGCATCGCCTCTATAACCAAAGTGTTCCAACCAATTCAAACAAAACATCCGTGGTTTATAAGTTCAGATATATATTGAAAGGCTGTGGATATGTTGAGAGGAGCTCTAACTGAAGATGTCTTGTGACTTAAAGAGATGCGTCACACTGCCTACTCAATCGTTACCAGGTGCGCATGCGTGGCTGGAATTTAAGCTTGGGTTTGTCCAGTGAAATTAATGAGATCAGCGGCATTGTCGGAGACCTAATAAAGTTTTTGTTTTGGGGTTTGTTTTTGGAGACAGTTTTAATGGGGAAACTTAACAAGTACTGATAGAGGCGTTGTATTTAACATATTGATGCTTGTTTTGTTTATATTTGATCCACACAGAAGTGGTGGTGAGTCTCGTTTGCCAGAAACAGAAGATTGTTATGCGAAAGCTGCTTGTATTCCTGACATTTCTCCTCGAATATTTAGGACTCTTAGAACATTAGCTTTTCTGTATTAACACCATAGGAACACTTTACGTTAAGTCAATGTTTTCAAACTAATGCACATGAAAAATTTTCAAAAAATGCAGGAAGTTTGACAGTGAGGATTGATTGGTTTTCAGTTTGTTTTAGTACATCTGACAGTTTAAACAAGTATGTGTCTAATGTGTACTGTTTGAGGTAGGCGGGTTGTTCTAAGTTTTTGCCTCCGGCGCTAACGGTACTGAGTTTTCATGTTGCGCTCTGCTGGTTGAATCCACTTGCTGTACACTAAGGTGTCCTTTTGTTTTCAAGGTGTTGAAATTTTCCATTCTTTCACTGGTATTTTTATTTGCGAGTTACCTTTCCAACCTCTGATTTTTCATCTATCTTCTTACAGTTTTGAATCAGTGATTTGGATTAGGCTTCGTTATATGATATAGAATCTCCCAAACTAAATGTGAACCTAAAATGTTACTCAGCTCGAGATTTGATTTGTGACAAAAGTACCAGCCTGTCAGAATTGAATAAGCGTGTATGTCAGCAGCGAGTGTTGTAACATTGGTTTCTACCATATTATCACTCCTTTTATTCCGGCATATGATGCTTTTTTTAGAAACCCTAGTTACCGGCTGTTGTGACCAATCAGTGTGTTAGTGCTGTTAAACGGCAAATAGTTTTGCCAAATATTTCAAGTTCTCTTCCGTTTGTAAATACCTCCGGAATTAAATTGTTAAATCGAGTGTTTTTAAATTTTGATTATCACTACTGCTGACATAAACATAAAAGGAATTTAAAAGTAATGTTGCGTGGAAAATGCGTCATTAGTATAGTGTAATAAGAAGTAACCGAGATAAACTTAATTTTCTATGACACAATAGTTGTTTGGAATCGTTACGTTACCGGGGTCCCTGTAGTTGTTTCCTACATTCTAGCGGCCCTTCATTCAGTTGAAATGACTCTAATAGTCCGTCTTTCAGAGTCCTTTGCTCTAGTTTTTTTATTGTCGTTTTCCTCCTTTAGTGGAGAGTGAAGAACCGTTCATGTGAAAATATAAAAAAGTAGGAATCAAAATAAGGTACTAACCAATAATTGATTGCACAAAATTTCTGTTGAACTAGGTCAACGTGAAAGTAACTTTGTATTTACATCGGCCTACACAGTACGTGACACGACTTTCATCTAACCAAGGAATATTAACAGACGGTAAAGTTCAGTCAAATAATACATATGCTGTCCTTCCATAGGATGGTTAGAATCAGGGATTGAATATAGGTTTTTTGTCACGATCCGACAGCTAGAAAGCTATGTAGCAAATATGGATGAGTGAAATTCGCGCCAAAACCCATGACATGTCATCCTAAATCTTTTTGGCTCGTCCATAAATTGGTCTTGCTGAACATTCCTTTCAATAGATTCTATTCTCTTCTCCAAACAAATAATCCAAAAAGTGTCCAGGTTTCGGGCGAATTACATCGTTTAAAATTATAGCATGTCAATATAGGATTATGTAATAAGATTTCTGTTGAGATGACTAGTTCGGAACGTTAACTGGAATATGCTTATACGTCAAATGTAATTGTGAGATTAATAATTTTAATGAATATAGATTAGTTGGATTGAAATAATTTATTTGAAAGTATATTCTTTGTCTATGTATTGGTGTTATAACTAACATCGTTAGTATGTAATGTCTCAGCCAGTGTTCCTCTTTTCTAATTCTGACTTATCATAATCGTTTGGACAGTATATTATTTCCTTAAGCGACTACGATAAGTAGTAAAGTGCTTACTTTCAACCCTGTACCTCTAGTTTTGACGATTATTAGTGTCAGGCTTTTTTATAAAACCGTAGGTAAATTCCTAGTTAAGCTTCAATTAATGTGGTAGTCTTTCTTAGATCTTACAAATCGACTCTGGTCAATTGTATACAAACAAATGACCGTTATGCAGTCTTGTAATATGGTTTCCAATCTTAGATTCGGCAAAATCACTACACTAAGTATTCGTATAAACCCCAATTGCCTGATAGTTTGGGGCCAAATATTCGACCTTACTTGAGCTCTTCATGCATGTTTCAGAGATAGCATTTACGTGTAGTCATAGTAACTCAGTTGTCTAGTTTTAAACGAAATATAATCGTTTAGGGTTCAATCCACCCGAAAAGAAAGTTTAATATGATATTGAAAATGTCTGTTCTTTTGTTTAAACCACTAATTTATGCAGCAAAACTTTCGGGGAGTGCAATAACAAGTATTGGTTATAGTTTTATAAAAATATAAGTCTAATTACCACACATGTACTACACTGCCAAAGGTTTAATAGCCAATGACAAAACTTCACTCTTAGTTGATCGTCCTTGTGTCACAGACAGTGTTGTAGGAACACAACCTAAATGGTCAGTCAGTCAGTAACAACGTAGAACTTCGTACGTACGTACATCAGTTCGAGTTGCCACACCAGCCTAAATGGGCTTCCTTTTAGCTTTTAAAATACGGTAAACATTAATCATTGACGCCAAAAGTCGTTGGATGTGACATGCCATTTCTAGGCTGATTTTTCAGGCTCACTGTCGAAAGCTTTGCTCAAGGATAAGTTAGCCGATAGAGATGCTATCATTGTATTCTAAGACATTCAGCACTGTCGCTACGCTACTCCCATAACAAAAAGTAACTAAGTCAACATTTACTAGGTATATGGGCATGAGCCATACTATGTAAGGACTAACGAGAGCATTGTTAATGACTCAGTGGGCTCCGTCTTTTAATGGTCGCTTTGAAATAAGATAAAGTATGGTTTTTTAGGATCTGTGCTACCAACAGTTTATATAACACAAGGTTAGTATATTCAGCTATCAGTATTATCATTTTGGTTATTATATATTTTATACTAGTGCTTTGGGTTTTAAGATGCCTCTTATCAGTACGAAGCTACATGTATTGAACCCGGTATGGAGAAAAAAGAAACCTCGTGACACTGAGCAACAAGAAGAACCCGAACCAAAACCAGCATTTATCGTCCCAGAAACTCAAGAAATCTGTACATCTGCCGAGGAACTGCAGCGCAAAATTACTATATATAATGAAAATATATGGACTTGTCGTGTAACTGGGAAACCTAATTTAACTTATCGGGAAGCATTGAAAACCGAAGCAACTGCTATTCGGACACTAAGAAAGTGTTTCCCCAAGTTTTTTGAAAAAACCATCCTTGAGCGCGTCCATCTCAGTAAGCTTATCTGCTCATAAATTTAACAATACAAAAGGTACTCTACCCCTGGAATCCTTGGTACACAGCTGCTGGACCATCATACATGAACAATTTCATATTGCGGAACCTGTGAAACTTAAAGTTGACTCTGTTTCGAATACACCGTAAGTTCACTTGAAAATAAAAACATTGACTTAGAATACGTGGAATAATTGATGATATAATAAAATCTCAAACTGTACCGGTACGATGTGAATCTGTCCTAATTCATTTAATCCTAGACACCTGTTCCGGATAACACTTCACCGAATAATAGTGACAAAGAAAATGTGACTAAAAAGAATTCTCCCATCAAGGTAATTTTCAAACCTTTGTAAAGTATTTTTCTAGAAAAACTACGCTTACAGTGTTAAAGTCCTTTCGGATATCCCTGTTGTTGTACATGATGTTCCAGCCTGTTCCATTGAGTAAGATTTTCTAGTGACTAGTTCTCATTCTTTTAGCCGTATCAACCGAGCACCTTCCAAAGATCATATCAAAATGTTTATTCGAAGTCATGCTATGCGTTATGGACCAAACTTTACAGGTCCATGGATTGTAAATGAGGAGCTTTTACGACGTCATAAAATACCTTTAAAAAGCCCCGGATGTCAAGTTGATAAAGTTAAGGTATGTCTAGTCTACTGTTAATATTTAATCTACTCATGTAAATGTTACTTTCAAATAACCTTATAGTTTAGAAACCCTCATTTCATTGATATCAGGACTTATATTTCCCCGTTATTGATTCGTAGAAATGAATCAGTCTACTGGCAGTTGGTTACTAGTACTGATATCTAGAATGTACGCTGTTGCAGTACTGTGGAGTCGTTTGGGTGTTTATTTTAAAAAAAGTAGACACGTTTAAAGTATTTCTATAAAACTGTTGATTAACAATAACGATCTATGATCTTTACAACTTTGGTTTACTATCGATTTTTATAGTATATGCAGATTATCATGTTTTTATTACCGTCAATGATTGTTATAGTTAAAACAAATGTCCAAAGCCCTGGAGGAGGAATACTTTGTACGCGTTATGAACTCCCGACGTCAGTCCAACGGAGAAGGTACATCAGATGATGTTACCTCAAGCACACCACTTAATTTTAAACGTATCAAGCGCTTCTCTGTTCTACGTGAAGACAACACTTCCAAGATGCTTGAAGAAAATGAAGATAACTTACCGCTAGCTCAGTTAAAAGATCGTTCTCAATTTAAACAATCATTAGAGGATAGTAGAAAGAAGAAAATGAAACAGGTTTGTTTCTGTGATACTTAGTTTTTAATTTGTGTTTATTTTCTTTATTGAAAGTTCCATCTGAGAAATCTTTTGAGTCGCTTTAGGAAGTGAATTTTTTTCGAGACGCTTCCGTCTATCTACGTTAGATGGTTATGGGTATTCGGAGGAGACACTGAACCTAGGTTTTGTGCTATTTGGTCGATACTAGTCAACAAGGCGTACCCGGAGTCTTGTGGAAACTGACGTCCTCCATCGGATTCAAAGTCGTGTCACCCAACTTGAAAGTCTAAGACGTTATCAATCAGCTACTGGGACGACTATTGACCTGTAGGACTGAGGTGTTTTTATTGATTGGTCATTAAGTAATTGCCAACGTTATCTATAAACTACAGGTATGACTTGTCCTCATTTATTCACACTGCTACTCTTGTGGTGTGTTTAAATTACTGTTAAGACCCGCAAAAGTTCTGCGTATCATTGGTTGGTCGGTTCATGACTTCAATGAAGCTAAAGAAATGTTCAACATTAACAGTACTGTCAGTTGTATATTTCTGTGCTTTCAGTCAGCCCACAGTGGTTCGAATGACTTTTCTGGTCATGATTTTTTTAAACGAAGTTTTCTACGGGACAGGGTTGACAACCCCATCCCTCCTTTTTCCCGGATTGGGAACGAGAGTAACCCTAAAAGATCTACAGACAGAGCAATAGGCCTCAATATGCATAATGGAAAAAGCAAGGTCCTCGAATACATCTCAGTGAGCACCAATCCAATCACACTTAGTGGGGATACTCTTGTAGGTGGAATCTTTTACGTAGCTTGTCAGTAGCATCACTGATGAACGTAGAATATCTGATGTAGACGTAAAGGCGAGGATTGTGGAAGCAAAGACAGCATCCGTAGAGTTGAACAACATATGGAACTCAAAACAACTGTCAACTAATATCAAAGTCAGATTCATCAATACGAAAGTCAAGACAGTTCTACTGTAAGGAGTTGAAACTTTGAGAACTACTACAACCACCGTCAACAGTTGTCTACACAGGATACTGAATGTCCATCGACCGGATACGATCAGCAATAGACTACTGTGAGAGAGAACAACCTAGCTTCAAACTGAAGATGAAATCAGGAAAAGACAATGGGTATGGATATGACACAGATTGAGGAAATCACTAAACTGGATCACGAGGCAAGTACTAACTTGGAATCCTGAAGGGAGACGGGAGAGGTAAAGACCAAAGAGCACGTTGCGTAGGGAATCGGAGGCAGATATCGAAAGAATGAATAGCAATTGGAATCAACTGGGAAGGAGAATCCAGGACGTATTTGATTGGCGAATTCCTGGTGGGTGGTCTATGTTCATCAGCGAGAAGTAACATGTAAATAATTAATTGAGTCACCCAATGGGCCCTTGGTTAATGACACTGTCAAAACAAGCAACCGTTTTAAAATATGTAATATAAGGTACTCTGTTAAGTATGTTGATAATCAAGCTACTTGGAAAGTCGTACCACCCCTATTTGATTTGCAATTACTTAATATCGGCATCCATATAGAGGTCTCATCAATAGCCTTTGACGTGGGCTAGATATCTGAATTGTAAATTATGTTTGATCAACATCTTAAATAGTTCGTCCTTTCGAACTCGGGGTTCCCAAAACATACCCGTTTTAGTAAGAAAACATCCACTCAATATTTCTAAAGCATCACTCACGTGAAGAAACCACGAAATAGGTTTTTAGATATTCCTTAAATGTAGGCCAAGGGCTTTCCGATTTCGCTTTATTGGAAAAGCTACCTAAGTATTAGTTTTACGACAGCTTTTCTATAATAATCATGGTAAATTATTTTTTTACTTTTCCTATTTGCTCAATCAACACAGTCCACCTTATTTCAATTTGGTAAGAAAACTCCTACGAAAGATGAAATACCAGACAAGTCAGCAATCAATCGTCCTAAAAAGAATACTAATGAAAGATCTGCATTACCTCGAGTTGCTCAACATCTCATCAAAATGTTTGGAGAAGATCGTAATAATCCAGCCATAGAAACTCAGATAAGACTTTGTGCAAAATTCATAAGTGACGTAGATATTCTTAAGTTGCCTGTTGAATTACGTGATCCTGTGCGATCAAAGAAAGAAGCGTTTGCGTTCAAAAAAAAGTTGTAAGTTCAATTCAATCTTTCGAATTTTTGTATTATTGTGTTACGAACATGTACTGATTCGTTTGACATATCCTAATAAAATCTCCGATAATTATTGAAAATAAGGCAGCAGAACAGTGAATAGCCAAGAGGTAATTGCTATACTATAATGTCAATCTATTTTGGATGGTTTTAATAATCGCATTGGAGTTAAGTTTTGTACGTGGAAATTCCTCTCCTTTGTGGAAAAGTTTGCTCATACGATTCGCCGTAAGCGTCCCGCTTACTCAAGACTACTGTTCTCATCGTTGTCCAAGGACAGATATCTCTTAAAATATCAACCATAGGTAGTTCACTGTGTTTTATTTATTTATTTTAACACAGATATTGGTACAAGGAGGCACCAAATACATATGCGCCACACAGATCTCATTTGATATGTGTGAGGGCTGTCATACTGCCCGGGTGCCCAAACCGAAGCAAGTGGTTTTCTTAGGGGGCCACACCCGGAGCCTTCGACCTAAAGGTCTGATCCACAAGACAGTGGAGCAACGTAAGGAGACGCAGTCCCACGATGGCCAGTGGCCAACAATTGGTTCATACGCTATTTGTTCCTTCAGGATAGTGGAGCCCATGTGCACCATTAGTTTGGAGTCAGGGTTTTCGAACTCCCCTAGATGGATTCTCCATGTCCACCAACCTAGTTAAAGCGTCGGGCACTCGCTTTTCGTTATCTCAATTTCGTAAACAACACTCGTGGTACGAGAAGGCAGTGAGTATGATCGTATCAAAGTGTATTTGATGTGTTTCAATAAGTGTTGTACATTTAAAATTAAGACGTTTTTCATCGTCATTCGTTTTTTCCGTTAGTTTTTTGTCTGAGGATTATCCTTCGAAAATCATCTTGTCTTTCCCCAATCTCATCTGCTACAACTAATTTAGCTAATACTTTTGGTACTCTCGGTTTGTTTTATAATTTCATTCCCTCTTTGCCGACCTGGTGTTCATCTTGTGCTAATGAGGTGTGGCAACTTGAACTGATCTACATTTTTGGCAATTTTAATGTACGTTACGACCGACTGATAATTTACTGTGTTGTTAAGGCACTCATTTCTTATTGATTTCAGCAATTAGATCCTCTTTTTGGATATTTCTACGGAGAATAACTTCGTTGCGTCTGCTTTTTATATTGCCTATTCAACGCTTTTCTAAATGTTAAATATGCAAGTATTTTTTCATTATGATACCTCTCCTGTCTTTTAGATGGATTATTTATTGCGTACCATAAGTAGTGTACTACTTGTAATGCTGATACTCAATAATTAATTAGTCTTTTAATTATCTACAATTTATGGACCTAGTATCGGGATTGTTCAATCTGTGCTACACAAATCTGTCAGAATAACTTGTCTTGGAACAATTTTTAGTAAAGAACTTCGCGTTGGAAACATTATTATTGGTTTTGAAATGATGTTCCTAGTTGTAAGCCATTTATTCATGGTAAATGAACCATAATAAAATATCTACAGTCGAATTTCCGCCACTACGATTGTTGGCCATACTTTTCAAAGGCCAACAATCGTAGTGTTTCTTGACATAAGGGCTGCCTTCGATTCGTTGGACAGAACTGTTCTCTGGGATTGTCTATTGAAGAAGGGTGTGCCTGAGAAGTTTATTAACATCTAAAAGGCCCTATATACAAACACCTCAGGCAGAGTGAGGGCATACAACCACCTCTCTCCATTGTTCCATTCGAGTAGTGGGGTTAGACAGGGTTGCCCAATCTCACCATACCTCTTCAACTTTGACATCGACGACATTCTAGAAACAACTCTGATGAATGTAAGTATTGGTGGTGTAGATCTGTTGCCTGGAGAAAGACTTCTCGACCTGGAGCATGCGGACGATATTGTCTTACTGTGCGATAATGCCCAAGGCATGTAATCCGCACTTAATCAGTTGGCAATCAGTGTCCGTAGGTATGACATGTGCTTTGCACCTTGGAAGTGCAAATTACTTCTACAAGACTGGTAGGATTCTAATCCTGTACTCACCCTGGATGGTGAGCAGATAGAAGTAGTCGGGAAGTTCGTGTATCTGGGTAGCTGTATAAGTGCTGGTGGGGTGTGAGTGATGAGATCAATGCACGTATAGTGAAATCCAGGTCGGCTTATGCCAATCTGGGCCACCTTTGGCGCCTTCGTGATGTTAGTCTGGCTGTAAAAGGTCGGATCTACAACGCGTTGGTGAGAGCAGCTTTGCTCTATTCTTGTGAAACCTGGCCTCTCCGAGTTGAGGACGTTAGACGACTCTCTGTGTTCGATCACCGTTGTCTCCGCAGGATTGCTGACATCCAGTGGCAACACCATGTTAGTAATCCAGAGGTTCGGCATCGTGTGTTCGGGCACAGAGACGATAATCCGATTGGTGTCACCATCCTGAAACATCGAATCCGGTGACTTGGACATGTTCTACGAATGTCGTCCCAGAGAATTCCACGTCGTGCATTATTTGCCGACTCTGGGACTGGTTGGAAGAAGCGGAGAGGTGGTCAGTGCATGACATGGTGTCGTGGCATGAAAGAAAGCTGCAAAGGACTGGCTTGTGTTGGTCCTTCACGGCTCCCTGGTTGGGGTCTGAGAGATGGTGCAACACAGTGGCTAGAGACGTTATCAGATATGTCTCAGAATAGAAGCCAGTGGCGATCCTGCTGTAACCTTCTTTTACTTTCTTCATAAAAAGTGGTTGTGTCTTCCTTAACTGAAAGATTTCTTCCGATTTTACCTTTCCGTTCCCTCATTACTACCACACTAGCTTGCACCAATCTCTTCGTTATTGTTCTCTCTTTTTTTCTTGCGCTCCTTACCCTTTTTTTCTCTTCGATTTCTCATTGTTTTGTGTGGCGCATATATATTGGCGCTCTCTTGTTCCAATATTTATGTGTTCAAATAAAATAATAAAATATCTAACCCTCCACATCACCCTTGTGTTTCTGATTACACTAATTCTGGGCTGTGACTCAACCACTGAAATAACTCTAGAAAAAAGCTTGGTGACATGTTTTTCATTTCTAATAAAGTGTATACTGATTCCTAATACTTATATTTAATGTCCTCATTCTTATGATTTTGAATCTCTAGACTGACTATGTCACCGACTCAACGAAAGCAAGCACTCCAAGAAATGAAAGAGAAACAGAAGATTGAACGTATTCACGCTAATAAATTGCTTGATGATCAACATCTTATGACTGCTTTGCCTCAGTGCCCTCGTTTACCTGAACCTTCCAAACTTGAACTTCCTCCTAGTTTCAACGAATCTTTGTTTGGACGCCTGCTAGGATTAACAGAATTTTTCCATGTCTTCCATAGCTTACTTGTTGAAGGATCTGTTGATGATACCGAGGTAGAGAATCCATCTGAAAATAATGTCCTGTCTGGCTTTTGTCGCTTTCCAGTCGAATCTCTTGTAGCCGGGGTTGGTGAACCGGGTTATTCTGATGATGATGACGATGGTAATACTGATGAAGAAGAGGAAGAAGCTGGATTGACTGAATCAAATGCTCCACTTCCGAAAATATGTATAAAGTCATTGCGTCGTCTAGGATTGAAACGATTACTTAACGCTGTCACCACAAATAATCCATCAGCTGGTGCCTATCGATCACTAGCACGTCCTTTAAGTGTCCTATTACGTTTAGTCTTAAGAGATGAACAAATAGGTGTAAGTATTATATATTGTGTTAACAAAACTAACATATAATAATATTGTTTTAAATTAGGAACTTAACGTATTTCCATAACAGCATTTATTCACATACTATTCATTTTTCACGGTAAATCATAGAGCTCATCAGTTTTCCATTCTCATAATAAAGGAGTTACAACCTGTTTATCGCCTTCATATTCGTGCCTCTGAAGTACACGACTGATTGAACTGTATTCGAAGAATCAGTATTTCATTGACCCCTAGTAATACTTCAATTCGTGTAATTTTGTAGCCTTTTTATTTTTTATCACTGTAACCTGGTTAAAGTGTAAGATTTTCCACCTGAGATTTGTGGCAGGGAAAGTATGATCCTTTTGATAATCAGATGCTTATTTTTTAGTTAGCTGAATCTCATAATGGTTGAAAATAGAAATAAACTTGATTATGAATTACATTTACAGTCAGCATTGTAACCAAGATTATACTCTTTTTATGCGAATCTCAGCTCTTAGCTGGAAACTAGCATATTATGGTTCAAAACACCAGTTCATCTTTCATGGTTTGATCTTGTTAGTAGATTTAGTCTTCGCTCAAAAATGATACTGTGTGTACACTGTACACGGCACCATAATTTTTCATCATACCATCGTGATTTAATAAAAAAGCGGATGACATAAACGATCCTCTAAGATTCCCAATAGCTACCTTTACGAAATGCGAAAAAATTTACGGCAAAGAAAACTTTTCTCGTTAATTTCATTTCCCTAAAAGCTATAAAGTAATTGTGCCTGTATTAACTGGTTAATGGTAGTATCAATCCTTGGATATTAGCTTGGCCGTGTTCTCTCAGTGAGCGAATTATCTGACTGGTTCGTTAGTGTTGTACAACATATAAGAAACTAAATATCAAAGATGAATGGCTGCAAATTGAAAGATTATGGTTTGATATTTTAAGGAGGTTGGTGAAGGTCATTCACCTAATATGTATAGGTTTTGAATAAAAGTAATAAAATAATGCGTGAGTGATTGAAATTAGTTAATTGAAGTAGAAAGTTGAGGAATGATCAAAGAATGTATATAATTGAACGGTGTAAAGAAACAATAGAATATGAATTAAACCCAGAAGAAAATACAGAAATGTAAGGAAAGTGACCACACCAACAGTTACAGTACACATAAATTTGACCACACTACGTATCCCTCAAGTTTCTGCAATCAAACATATGATGTCTAGACATTCATTTTTTGGTAGATTTGGTTAGAACTTACTAGTAATCTCAAGTGATATATCCGGTATTGTATCGTTATAAATAATTACTTTTTGTGGAATATTATATTCCACACTTCATTGTTTTTTACTGAAACATGCTAGAAGGTTACTTACTTGCCTATACGTACTAACATAAGAATTTTTCAGTCACAAAATGAAATTATTGAAAAGCTCAACATCGAGTATTAATTGTAGTTTGGTTTCAATTGTAACATAACGGAACTTTGTAAGCATACTATTGCGTTGTGCTTACTAATCAATTAGTACATACATAATCCTAAAATTAGTATTAGAAAAGGTAATCATAAACTTTTTTCCAAGTAAAACATGATCATTTATTTTAGTCCAATGATTTTTTTATTCTCAGAAAAAACGTGAGTTGGGCTTGAAACTGGCTAAATTCCCAGTTACACCGTATACAGCTCCTGAGCTCCTTAGATTGACTCTTTTAAACGAAATCCCATCAAATCATGCTAGAACAACCATATTGGAACAATTACGAAATCATGATGCTCCAGTCACTGATCCTAATGTAAGTGTCAAAATGTTTCTTGTACGTTATTTGACCTGCTTGAGCAAGTGCAAGATATGATGTTATTTTCAGATTATTGATTTGAGTCTTAATCTATGATAAAAACATGAGTAACTTTAGTACTAATCCTTATGTTCCTTAAACATTAAATAAGTACAAATAATACAACAATCAAAAACGAATGTGGTCCCTTGTAGAAATCGTCTACCGATAAATCGAATAGTATTGGATGACTCATTCACTGCAGGGTTACAGTTAAATAACAAAACAAAGACTAAAGTTTAAGGTCAAGCCAGGTTATACTGTTGATTGGATGAATCGTTCATTTTTCAAACAATAAATGTACTAATTCTTCCCAGTAATTTGAATTTTTTATCGTTCTGAATACAATTATAATGTATACAAATATCAGCTTCCATCATACTGAAATTTCCTTGCAAATTGGGTTTGTATTATATTCTGGTTTCCACAATCTTGGGGTTCATCCTCAAGGTATAAGAATTTAGTCCTGTTTCTGAATCAATGGATCTAGGACAATGTAAGAAACAAAAATGCACATTTACACTGAGTAACATGTATTCTTATTTGATCTCGTTAAGTTATCAGTTACTTACAGTCTTTTGCAGAAGTGAAGCTGAACAAAAGTTAATGTTAACATGTCAATCTAAGTGAACTTGAGTGGTGTTATAGGCGTGTATGTAGTTGCCAGTTTCTTACATCAGGAAGTAACACTTTCTTAAAGTGTCTAGAAACAAAAACTTGATTAGTGATCAAACAATCCAAGGAACAGCTTCTTTAGACCGGTCAAACAGTCTTATTGAGTGAAGTCCTTGTTATTTTAGCTCTATACTCTAAAAGCTCTACCTCAGGTGACGAAAATTAGAAGGGTGTTGTGTTTAGCGCCGATCTTCTGTAACTCGCCCCTTCGGACATGGAAAAGAAACCACTGCAAATCTTCGTTGTTTCAGACAAACGCTTTGTTATGGTCACACCATAGAACGATCGGGAGTACCATTTGGCCACGGGACCTTAAGTTTCTGCTTCTAATCATATATTCCACCAACGGATTGGTTTGTATGGTACGATCTAAAGAAACAAGTATTCCAGTCACCATAACCCGGTTTGGCCATCAAGATAGACAAGTCCGATCACGGCTGCGGATAAGCACCTTTCATGATTTTCGTGTCATCCTTTCCCATGGGTCATAATCATCCCTGTCTTTTCCGAATCTTGGTGTATGTACACCGTTGGGACGACTATGTACATTAACATAGTGAAGCAAGGATCCTAAGAATCTATATCGAATAAAAAAATTACTCTTAATTATCGTTTCTGAGGAATGCCTCTGGAAAATACATTAGAACGCTTACAAAAACCCTTTAGGTTTGAAGTAAGCCGTTATTCAATTAATTGGGAATAAAATATTTATTGGTATGAGCTTAATTGTATAGTGTGAATTAGGAAAGAGTTTAAAAACACTAATCATTTAAAAAGAAAATTGAAGGGTTAACTCATTTAGAATTGAATCAACCATTGTTCTGATTCAATGTTAATCTATCAGCTAATTGAATGAATTTTTCAGTTTAACATAATTACTTTTCTCAGTAGCTATTCAGGGATGATAACTTCGGTTTCTAATAAATTCAGTTTCATACTTGGTAAATTGCAGTTGTTGGACCGTACAGGGTTTTATAGAAAAACTTCAAATAATTGCTCCTATAATTAGTTTTTGACCCGACTGTTGCCTCTGCCTTGACGTAGTGATCGAACTTACCTATCGTGATAAAACAATGGAACTATACTGGTTGGAACAATCGTTCCTCAAGGTTCTAACATGCCAGGCAAGTCAGTTGACGAACGGTAAGATTGAAAACAGCAAACCCGAGGTCTGAAGGCGAAGTCATACTGCTGACTGTACAGAGGCATGACGGCAGTAAGGTGTTTCTTCCAGAAAACCAGCCTGACAGCAGTGCTGTCTTCCCACAAAGGAAGGGTGGAGTTAGAATAGATCGACCCTAAAAATGCACACCTCTCCTTATTCCACGGATATCAGTCTCCGGCGGTAAGGTCTCAACAGCCCCCAAATGCCCTGGTATGGCCGAGAGTGGGGGGAGTCCGCTCTCCCTCTCAAAATGCTCTCACATGGCCATGCGTATATAGCCTCTGCCAGGGAAGTCCTACTCACAGCCTTCTCGTGGCATTACTGTTGTTTACGAAAATGAGAGGACGAAAAGCGAGTGTCCGGCGCTTTAACCGGATTCCAAATCAATGGTGCACATGGGCTCCAGTATTCTGCGGGAACAAATGGTGTATGAACCAATTGTTGGTCACCGGCTACCATGGGACTGCGCAACACCCCCGCCACGAGAAGGCAATGAGTAGGACTTCCCTGGCAGAGGCTGTATACGCGTGGCCGTGTGAGAGTATTTCGAGAGGGAGAGCGGACTCACCCCACTCTCGGCCATACCAGGGCATTCGGGGGCAAGGATAGGGAATTAAATAGTCGAACGCGTTGACAACTTTACTTATCTTGGAAGTCTGATCAGCCCTAATGGGTTGGTGTCTGACGGAATCTCTACACGGATTCGAAAAGCTCGTTTGGCTTTTGCCAACTCATGTCATCTATGGCGAAGGCGAGCTATCCGTCTATCAATAAAAAGACGAGTATGCTGCTCGGTAGTTTGTTCTGTTTTACTTTACGGCAGCGAAACATGGCCATTGAGAGTAGGAGATACTAGTAAGTTACTAGTGTTTGACCACAGATGTCTTAGAAATATTACTGGCGTCTGCTGGGATCAACGGGTAAGCAATAGTGAGGTTAGACGCAGAGTATTAGGGAATGATGGTAAATCAGTTGATGAAGTTGTAAATCTTCATCGACTGAGATGGTTGGGCCACGCGTTGCGTATGCCTGAACACCGATCACCACGATGCGCAATGCTGATTAGTATTTGGAATGGTTGTAAGAAAATTCGGGGTGGCCAAACCCAAACGTGGTCTTGAGTGCTGTTAGAAGTATGAGGGTTGTTATGCACTCTCTTCCTTCCCTTAGAGTATGAGATTAAAATCGCTTCGTATTTTTCTACGTACTAATTCTTTCTTCCTGTTCTATATCGTTATATGCAATCTTTCTTCCATATATTACCACCATTGAATTAACTACTATGAATTCGGTGCTCATCTTATTGTGCTAATGAGGTATGGCAACTTAGACCGATGCATGGATGTGCCTGGTCCTACGTTGTAACTGACCTCAAAGTAAAGTGCAAGAGTTTTTATTTAGGAATTTAGACTAATATATTTCACAAATTATTTATTTGCAAAGGGAAGTACGGTTTAAACATGGACACTAAGATGCAGACAAATCCAGCTGACGAATTTTAACCACAACGAATAGTGTTCCTTAACTTCTACTCACAACCGCAATTCAACTCTGCTTTGGAAGGAAACACGGTTTTCATTTTAAACACTTGTGATAGGCTGCGTTTTCTGTATATATTCTTTTCTTTTATATAATCACTTTCGATTGAGTGTATATCTAGAATACCATTCATTTTGTATTCAAATTTTTAGCCATTTGACCAGAATTCTGTGACACAACTTATACACCACTTATCCAACTCTGATCTACATGAACTGTTTCCAGAAATACGTGTAATAGCGTTGGAATGGGCAGTGGATAAAATTTTCGATCTTGATCTTATAGATGATCATATTATGGCATGTCAACGTCGTGCAGCTGATGCTTGGCAAAGGAAAATTCAGGTATTACGTGATAAAAACTTACGAAAAAAAGACAAAAAAGATAATGCAAATGAAGCTAACAAAGCCACCAGTAATAATAATAATAGCAATAATATATCTACCAATCAACTTGATGAGTCGAAGTCTAAAGCAGACACTCCTACCGCTACTGCTGATGATATCACAGATTCTGAGAGTAAGTTGTTTCTAAAAATGATTTACTCGCTTGTTTAAATGAAAAAATAATGTAAAAATTAATCACAGCGTAATAGAACATTTGACTTACATATCTGATTAAAATAAATGTGAAGCAAACACTTTAAAATGTAACTATTGACTATTTCAGATGACTTAGCATCAATTGTAAAACGCAGACGAATTCTAGCTGCACGAGCAGCAATAGAAAAGGAAGAAAAAGAAAATCTGGAACGTCAACGCCGTCTGGAAATGGCTCAAGAACATGCTGAAGAACGTGCAATTAATACAGTTAGTCGACTTCATGATATTCGGTCTACAGAAGCAAAATGTGTTCTACGAAACAACCCTATTGGTTATGATAGATATTATCGTCGTGTTTGGTATTTCCGTTGTTCTCCGGATCGTTTGTTTTTGGAGGCTAATTGGGCTTCCTCAAGTATCATGTATTCGGTTGATTCCTTTAGAAGTAATTAATATTTCCTTAATATATTAATTTACGTAATCATTTATTTATTTATTTGAACATATAAATATTGGTACAAAGGGGCACCAAATACATATGTGTCACGCAAATCGAATGATTCGTGTGAGGGCTGGAATACTGCCCGGGCGCCCAAACTGGAACAGGCGATTTTCTTAGGTGGCCACTCCCCGAGCCTTTGACCTGGAGGTCTAACCCACAAGGCAGTGGAACAACGCTAGGAGATACAGTCCCATGGTAGCCGGTGGCCACCATTAGGTTCATGCACCATTTGTTTCCTTAGGATCCTGACAGTGGCTGTATACTCAAGGTCGTGTGAAAGTATTTTGAGAGGGAGAGCTGACTCTCCCCACTCTCGGCCGTACCAGGGCCTTTGGGGGCAATTTACGTATTCATATGATACATTTAGGTGGTTTACTGCAATTTACTTTTTCATAGTTTCTCCATACAATCTAGAATTTGGCACGCTTTTTGTTTGTAGAAAATGAATCTGTCCCAATTACCACTTTGAGTGATGAAACAATACCACAACCTGCTCATGATTTTGTAAATAATGGCACATTAAACAGTGGAACTATTTCAAGTTCCTGGAGTAATTGGTATTTTTATGATCGTCCTGAACAGTTAGATGAATTGTTAAATTCATTGCTAACTCGCGGTGTTCGGGAAAGTCATTTAAAAAGTCAATTATTGGCAGATGGATTTCTGGAGTCACTTAAAAAAAGATGGAGAAGTGGTCTCTCAAATGAATTGGTAATTAAAGCTGACACATTGAATGGTACTCCTATAAATGTAGAAAAACATCCATCTCATCGTAAACGGTAAGTTTTGAATCTTTTATGGTACCATGGCTAGTTATCTATTTATTTCATTTTTTTCAGCATAAACGTTAAAAATTATAATAATTATTTTAAATATCAACACGTTTCAATGTTTTACTTCAATACGGATATAGTTGTAAATAGCTGGTGATAAACCATGAAGTGAAAAGAATTCGTATTATTCTGGCTTTATTCAAATTTCTGTACAGGGACTAATTATATGAAACATAACATTTACGTTTAGTTATCCAAAACGTTTTGCATTTTCCACAAATAGAGTTTTCCTGTCAATTTTCTATTTTAAAACTATTTTCTAATCTAATATTCATTTTATAGGGCACTAGTAACTAAGTCTGTGCATGTGTATACGGGTTCTGGCAAATCGTATTACTTGTAGTCGTTTATCAGTTGCTTAATTGGCGGAACAACAATCTATGTAGTCTCGAGTTAAAACAACAATTTATCAGTACAATTTGTTTTATTTGATTTCACGTCCATAAAGTCTGTAACAAGAAAAGGGAAAACAGTCTAGCTATGACATACTAAAACTAAGGAGTAATTCTGTTTTTTCTTCGTTCTTGAATAGCTTGATGTTTATCCTGCGTAGTCAATACCCGTTAATGAGGATTTGTTTGACAGTTTCGAGTTCACCTGATTGATTGCCGTGGTAGACCCTAATCTTCACTCAGTCTATGAATACAGTATTCTTGAGTGCTATTAGATGTATAAGAGCGGTTATCACTTCCCGGTTGCTCACACCGTAGAAAGGTTCTTCTGGAGGTACCTGAAAATGAAATTGGGTTAGAGTTGATCTTAGTGACCTGAGAGCGTGACCGCAGTGCCAAAGGGACAACTGCTTGAGGTCGGTCACATACTATCTTTTCGTGGGCAGTTTTCGTATTAGCTCCGTTCTTGTTAAAACCTTATTTATTTATTATTTATTTTAACACAGGAGGCACCAAATACATATGCGCCACACAAACCTCATTCGATATGTGTGAGGGCTGTGATACTGCCCGGGTGCTCAAACCGAAGCAAGTGGTTTTCTTAGGGGGCCACTCCACGAGCCTCCGACCTGAAGGTCTGATCCACAAGGCATTGGAGCATCGTCAGGAGATGCAGTCCCATGGTAGCCGGTGACCAACAATTGGTTCATACACCATTTGTTCCCGCAGAATACTGGAGCCCATGTGCACCATTGATTTGGAATCCGGTTAAAGCGCCGGACACTCGCTTTTCGTCCTCTCATTTTCGTAAACAACAGTAATGCCACGAGAAGGCTGTGAGTAGGACTTCCCTGGCAGAGGCTATATACGCATGGCCATGTGAGAGCATTTTGAGAGGGAGAGCGGACTCCCCCCACTCTCGGCCATACCAGGGCATTTGGGGGCTGTTGAGACCTTACCGCCGGAGACTGATATCCGTGGAATAAGGAGAGGTGTGCATTTTTAGGGTCGATCTATTCTAACTCCACCCTTCCTTTGTGGGAAGACAGCACTGCTGTCAGGCTGGTTTTCTGGAAGAAACACCTTAATGCCGTCATGCCTCTGTACAGTCAGCAGTATGACTTCGCCTTCAGACCTCGGGTTTGCTGTTTTCAATCTTACCGTTCGTCAACTGACTTGCCTGGCATGTTAGAACCTTGAGGAACGATTGTTCCAACCAGTATAGTCCATTGTTTTATCACGATAGGCAAGTTTGACCACCACGTCATGGTAGCAATGACGGTCGGGGACACTAATTTACACAATTTCAATTTAATTTGTAATGGTTTAGTTTTCTATGATTAACAGAAATGTAAAATATTTTTCTATTATAGCGATCTTCCTGCTGGAGCCGCTTTGGCAGGAGCATTGGTAAAAGTAAGTTTGATTACTTTTAATATGTGATTATATTAATTGAAGATGTTGCTTATGCTTGTTTTTTATTCATTGGTAGATAGAAGTTCATAAAATGGTGTATTTTTCAAATAATTTTGTCTTAATTTATGTGTGATAGGTTTTCATTGTTAGTCTCAAATGCACCGTAGAACGTGATACACTTACATCAGCTCAAGCTACCATACCACTTAAAGACGTCGAGATAAAATTACCAAGATAAATGTTAGAGTGATAGGAATAGTTCCAGTATCAGTAGTAATGAAAAAGATTAGGTGTAGGCCAAGAAAGTACGAGATTTCGGTTCTTAGGTTCTAATGGAAGGAATGAATACACCTGCGCCACCCCAATTTCTATCTACTGGTTATGACAGGCGCGTGGTCCCCAACCTGGTAATTTCCATCTACCTACATGACTCAGTCCAGCAGCCGATGACTTCGTAAACTGATAAATGTCTTGATTTGCCTGTCGTTAGCTTTCTTCCAGCGTACTACTACATTCGACAACATTAAGTGTCGAGGTCGTGGTTAATTCAGCATACGTAACAAATCTCAGTCACCTCAACATTGCCTACTCGTTTGCTCCACGATGTCAAAGAAATATCTCGAAGAAACTTGCAATCAAAAACCTGCGGCCGGCGCATGTCTTCTATATTTATGGACTGTTTCATAGCTATAGACTAAAACGCAGTACACTCGCCCTTACGTTAGCAAAAGGACATTTTGCCTACTCCGCAAGTTGGAACAGTCCAACCGATCTTTCGAAATCTTTGTCGACAATTCTTCAGATACCAACTTTATTATTAGCTTCTGCACAGGTTATCTGGCTAACAGTACTAATGATACCATCTGGTTCCCCATAACAAGATATGTAGAGTGGAATCGGAACCTGAGCCTGGCTGAAAGGTGAACATCGACGCACTCAACTACTTCACTTCTTATCATTAGTTCAGATGTTGACTCGAACCAGTCCTAAAGCAATTTGAGTTTAAAAAGAGAAAATTTAAGTCCAAACGTGCTTACATTGTTGTTCAAGTCTATTAGAGGGCTTCATCACCAAAGTGTTCAGTGCAATAATTATATATACACGGCCGAAAAAACATAGATTTTTCGTTTGTCATATATTTGAAGTTGAGTTTAACTGGGATTAGTGTGGAGAAGCGTCAGAACTCTTATGTGAGGAGCTGATATTTATTTCTGCTGAAATACAATGGACGGAAATCTCCGAAAAGGTCACTAGAAATACTGTGTTATAAATGTTAATCCATTTGAAAGAATGAAATATTGTAACGCGGAGCTATGTGTTAACGAATGCGCTTGATGTACGGCACGAATGGTCCACAATAGGTCAAGTAAATAAATTCTACCTATTGAGTCATCACGTCATTTGAAAAAGAAGTAAAGAAACCAATTCTATTCAAGGTCTTAGACACGTGACTATAAATACAGATTGCTAGCATTTTGTACGTAATACTATCTGTACTTTGTTAATCAAGTTGTCGGTTGATAAGTGGATTGTCTTTAACATTTATATTTTTTCTGCAATATACTGACATTATGTAAATAGTCTCTATCAGAAGTTCTTACTTATTTTTAGAATATTTTAGATACTGAGGTTCGTCTAAGATCCGGTGGTCTCGGTGGTGTACCAGATTTTACAAAATGGCAAGAGCGTTTAGCACAAATACAAGAATCCTATGGAATCCAACAAGAAACTCTTAATGTAAATTTGTCTTCAAAACCAAATCTGTCAGCTTTATCCAGTCTATGTGAATTACCAAATAAAGAAGGACTTGCTATTGCTCTTATTGAAGTAGCTGAAAATATAATACCTCGCTTTTTAAACGTTCCTGATCTTTGCACCAAGTCAAAATTCAACTCTAATCAAAATGGAACAAATGATTGTCATGATATAAAAACTTCTTTTCCAGATCATGTACCATTTTGTAGATTTTCATCTGGAGAAGATTCAGACGCATCTGAAAGTAATGATCGTTCACAGGAACTGGAGAAAGCTGTTTTAGACCCTGAAGCTCATGAACTACGAACTCGTGCTTGGATGACAGCTTGGCGTACTGAAGTTCAAAATGCTCGTACACTGACCCGATTAAATCTCTTACATGTAATTCTGTGGAAAGCTCGATTTAGTTTAATTATATCTTCCTTTATTGTTGTGGATAATCAAAGTTAATCTTATTGAGTTATAAGTTCCTATCAATTCTACACAGTCCAGTTGAGCTAATTAAGCGACTAATGAATAGTTGAAGTGTGTGCTACTTATGCGGACAGACATATGTAGTATGTAGCAGGGATTAGGAGTAAAATACTTATCAGCAAAAGATCGAAATAAAGAGGAGAGGAAAAAAACAGAGCAAATGGAATAACTGCAGGATTAGAAGTATGATTGATGATGTAAAGGACAACTCAAGATAGATGTGCAGATGATGTATTTTATGTATGATTTTCATATTTTACTAAGTCACTGTGTAATTTTGCATAAAACAATAAATTGGTTTTCCCCATTACCTAGTAAAAGACAACAGTAGTTTATCACAGGGGTTATGTACTTGGTTATTTATTATTTATATATTTATTTGAACACATTGATATTGGTACAAGGGGGCACCAGATGCATATGCGCCACAAACCTCATTTGATTAGTATGAGGGCTGTAATACTGTCCGGGTGCCCAAACCGAAGCAAGTGGTTTTCTTAGGGGGCCACTCCACGAGCCTCCGACCTGAAGGTCTGATCCACAAGGCATTGGAGCATCGCCAGGAGATGTAGTCCCATGGTAGCCGGTGACCAACAATTGGTTCATACACCATTTGTTCCCGCAGAATACTGGAGCCCATGTGCACCATTAGTTTGGAATCAGGGTTTTCCAACTCCCCTAGATGGACTCTCTGTATCCATCAACCCCGTTAAAGCGCCGGACATTCGCTTTTCGTTCTCTCAATTTCGTAAACAACAGTAATGTCGCGAGAAGGTAGTGAGTAGGACTTCCCTGACAGTGGTTGTATGCACGTGGACATGTGATAGCATTTCGAGAAGGAGGGCGGACTCTCCCTACTATCGACCGTACCAGGACATTTGGTGGCTATGTACTTGATAATAAAGTGATTATTATTATTGAACACTTGTAGAATGTTCTCATCCTAATATTAACTTGTGTTACTATCTTCTTTCGATATATAAAAATGTTTTGTAGCGTTAACACACTAGTTCACACATTTCAACCAGCCGGTCACTTAGTGGTTTTGTTCATACAACCTTGTAAATAGTTTTACACAAGGGATGTTTGAAGTGTATATCTGCGTTTGTGATTTGTTTATTCTTAAATCGGCTGTGTTTTTTCTTTAGTAAAATTATTTTTTCGTCTGATTATTATCAATATATCAAAATGCGTATTTTGCAAATAACTAAGGCTATGTCCATTGTTATTACTATACTAACAAGCAGATACTATCCTTTTTATGAACATACACGGTCCATTCTCTGCTTTGTTTTAAGTACTGATGCGTATCTCCAAATCACCCGTGGATGATTAGTTACTTAGTTTCCATTAAGTCCTGATTAACCTGCTTTGTGCAGTGTCAATCATATATTCCGATTGTTCTCATTCAGATAAATTCTATCTGTAATATATCAAGCATTCATGACAAAATATTTTACAGTTTTACCAAACAATAATAAGTTATCCTTAATATCTAAGCAGTATATTTTCAAAAATTCCAATTATTCAACAAACATTCTGTCTACTAACCGGGAATTTTAACCTTTTCTCGGGCGGTTAATATTTTGCATGATGAAAATTTTTTTCCCCTTTTAATGTGATTTGCGTTCACTTCTTTATAACTAGGCATGTCTGGATGCATGTGTTCGCTGGGAAAAGTCAGTGGAAGATGCGCGCTGTCGTATTTGTCGTCGGAAAACAGATGATGATAATTTACTACTTTGTGACGGTTGTAATCTTGCTTTCCATCTCTACTGTTTACGTCCACCATTAAAACGTGTACCAACAGGTGATTGGTTCTGCCCGACTTGTGGACCAGCCTCCCGTGCCCTTGAAAAGCGTAAGCGTGAAGAACGTTTAGCTCGGTCTGCAAGACGACGAAAACGTGCTTTGTCATCTGATGATGAAGAACAATTAAATTCCGATAATAATGAAGAAAGTAGTGGCGAAAGTGAAGCTACTCAAAAAATCAAACGTCGAAATCCCCGTTCATTTCGATCCAAAGGCGGTAATGACTCAAGTGCGTTCAATGTAAAACGTTCAGTTAGTCCAGCCAATCGCAATTCAGGTAAAATTTCCTTTTTAAACTGTCTATATTCTGTGTTTCCGATTGATATTAATTCTGTATTTGTTTTCTTCAGTTTCATCTAGAAATATCAGACACGATACATCCTGTCTTGTTTGTTCAGATTCAATTGGTGATTTGGTTCTATGTTCCAACTGTCCCAATGTATTCCATCTGGACTGTCATGATCCCCCATTGCACCATATTCCACGTGGAGATGGTTGGCAGTGTTCAGTTTGCCGGTCGAATAAAAAACGTTCTACCATTACTTCTTATTTTCAAAGCAGAGATTATCGTCGGAAAACGTGAGTACTATTGTATATCATTATTACATCAATCACCTTATTAATCTAAAATTCACCAATGTATGGAATTATAGCGATCGGTTATATGACTTACATATCGTTTCTTAACCAGAATATCACCTTGTTTCACTAGATAAAACCAAATTTGTGAGTACAGTTTTTTAAGATAAAAGGTCCAACTAATCAATTAAATGTAAACTAATTATTGTCTTTTTCATTTCAGTAATTCATTAGTATGAACTAAAAATCAGTCCACTAATTTTTATTTCACTCGCTTTTTTCTGCTTATATTTCCGTTCCATATTCCGTGTTTCTTCATTTATTTATCTATAGTTATCAAGCAATTTTCAAGAAACGAGCTGTCAGTCCAGATGAACGTAGCGAAGATGAATTTTTAAATAGTACATCTTTTACTCGTTCAACACGAAGTAACAATAGATCTCGAAGGAATATCGCAATGTCTGACACTGATGATGAACAACAATCGAGTGAAGCATCTTCAGATGTAGATATCCGCTCTAATAATCAACGTCCAATTTCTCGTCGACGTAGTGCTTCACGATCAGCGTCTGCTCTTAGTTCACAACTAAATAAATATCCAAAACGTAGACGACGACACTTGTCTGATCAGGAGGATACTTCAGAAACAGAACAAATGGACGAAAAGTCTCAATCTTTATGTTCACACATTCTTGATGCCGTGTATAAGCACAAACACTCATGGCCATTCAGAAAACCTGTTGATAGAAGCCAAGTAACGTTTTGAATATTTTCCTTTCTTATAGGCATTCTTTTTGGCTGTCAATTCCATGGATCTTTTCATCATCAGTGGTTTTTAATTCACACTTAGTATAAAATGCATTCACGTTATACAAGTTCACGAGCTCTTGTTGTCTTGTGCGTTTTCAAGTGGTTTGTGTGCCAGTTAAAGCCACAATCATATTTCATTTCAATACTACTATTCTAAATATGTTATGGGAAAGTTTATTGCGGAATGAGGTATAAGTACTACCTTTTCATTCCATTGATTTTTTTTCAAAGGCCTTCTAAAAAAGTTGGTTTTCATATTACTCCTTAAAGAGATTGTTTTTTGATTAAAGAAACAACATTTTTGTTTTTTATGGTTTGATTTTTTCACTTTCATGTACCCGATTCTTGACGAACCAGGTATGGGAAGATAGAAGATATAGATTGGGTTCGATGCTTTACTGTCAAAGCCGAATTATATGCTGAACTCTTGCCCATTTGTGGGATCTCGTAATAAACTAGTCGATGATATAAAAAGAGCTGGTTTAATAATTCACTTACTAAAGTTTCCTCACATTTATCTTTTACCGTGTACCTTTGTGATAACTGAGTTTATCCTGTATATAACAGTACTCACAGCTTTCGTCCTACAAAGTTCGTTTGTATCTTCGATGATTTTTGTTAGTTTCTATTATTCATGTCGTTTCAATTTATTATCAACTGGATTCATTATTCCCATTAGGTTCCCGATTATTATGAAATTATAACAGATCCAATCGATTTGTCCATGATGCGTGATTGGCTTTCTGAAGGACGGTATAACACGGAATCTACCAGCGCAGGACTGAAGAAACTAGTACATGATTTAGGTACTATGTTTTATAACGCCGAATTATATAATGCTGCTGACTCAGACGTTTGGTTAGCTGGAGAGCAGTTAGAAAAATTCGTGAAGAATCAGTTCGCTCATATAAACACAGGTACGTTTTTGTATTCTGTTTGTTTGGTTTCAAATTCCCGAGAATATGCTTTTATTTTGTTTTATTATACCTCCTTCTTACTGTTGTGTGACTCTACTTTTGGTCACTGTTACTTAGATTAGGTGAAAAACGAATTCACAAGTACATTTACATTTTGCACTTGAGTTGTTACTCAGTAGTCTAGTTACTTGACTTTCTACCACTACATTTTCTTCAGTCAAACAACATTATTTACTCCTCATATAAAGATTAAAGTAACCAAGTACCTAGCTTTTTAATTACTTTATGTGAAGGTTAGTTTATGCTACCCTAGCTATCCATCAGATACAAGCGGGGCAGAATTCAAACCTTCAGGCCAGTGGATAACCGTCAATTGCTTCAACCACTAAGGTGTTCGTACAACGTAAAATTTAAAGCCTGATATATAAGTTGATAGTTGTTACATCACTATTGTCTATCCTTTTATATGAAGCTCATATGTTGTCTTTCCAATCATTCTGTATTTATACTAATAAATCCCGTAATCTTTCTTCTTATCATCAACAGTAATCTTTTGATTTCATGCATCACTCCGATTTCTTTCTAAAAAAACGTTTTATAGAATAATTACCCCACTAACGAGCCCTATTAGTCACTGAGTTAAAAAGTGAATCGATATTCCTGATTATAGTTGTTAACTTGACGTGGTCGGGTTGGCTTATCTTGATGATTCATCGAGCTTTATTGGTTGGAATACTTATTCCTTTAGTTACTTGCGTCACCTCTGGCGAAGGCGAGATATCCGTCTATCAATAAAAGGACGGGTATACTGCGCGGCAGTCCGTTCTGTTTTACTTTACGGCGGCGAAACATGGCCTTTAAGAGTAGAAGACTCTCGTAAGCTACTAGTATTTGGCCACAGATGCCTTAGAAATATTTCTGGCATCTGCTGGGATCACCGGGTAAGTAATAGTGAGGTTAGACGCAGGGTATTAGGGAATGATGGTAAATCAGTTGGTGAGGTTGTGAATCTTTATCGACTGAGATGATTGGGCCACGTGTTACGTATGCCTGAACACCGACTACCACGACGTGCAATGCTATCCGGTATTGGAGATGATTGGAAGAAAGTTAGGGGCGGCCAAACCAAAACGTGGCAGCAGTGCTTGAAGACACTAACTTGTAGTCTGAGCCATGTTGGTAGATGCAGACTACTTGGTTGGAGTCCGCGTGACTTTCGTAACCAATGGTTGGAGACTCTTGGTGACATGGCTCAGAATTGATCACAATGGCGTCGGTGTATACACTCTCTGTCTTCCCTTAAACTAAGAGATTAAAATCACTTCATATCTTTCTTTCTACGAACCAATTCTTTCTTCTTGTACTATATCTCTATATGCAATCTCTCTCTCATATATTACCACCTTTGACCTAACCACTGCTATGAATCTGGTGTTCATCTCGTTTTGCTAATGCGGTATGGCAACCTGGACCGATGCACATATGTGCCTGGTCCTACGTTGTAGCTGACTGACTAACTGATGTCAGACTGGTTCATTGAAGAAAGCAGAACTTCGGGTTCCGACGGCGAATTTCGTACTGCTGACTGTATTAAAGGGTGTGTTGGTAGTGGGATGTTTTCTTCAAATAACCGTGGTCTACAGCGGTGTCACCACACAATCGAAGCAGTGAGTTAGAAAATGTCAGTCCTACAAATAACACTTGTCTTATGGGTTTCCGTCTTCTGTGGTAACGCATTTAAAGTACAGAGCTAACCTATCAAGAAGTACACGCAAAAAGAATGTGTATTGTAAGCCTCAAGCAATTGTCCCTTGTGCTCTTTGATCATGCCTCAAAGCGTGAAGATAACTAGTAGTTCAGTCTTCATTTTTAGGTTTTACGGTGTAGGGATTGGGAAGTGGTAATCGCCTGTTCACCTGTAGAAAGTATTTGAGTTCATTATTTTACAGTCAACTCCTTTCGTTTGACTGCATTGATATTTTTATCACATTTTTCCAGTTATTGAGTCTTCTAAGTACTCATTCTAAACTGACTGATCTCAACTGTGTTAGTATACTGTCTGTTATTCAAGTGAGCCTATCTGTAATAATTTCTTAGGTTGTCGGTATATTAGTTACTTTATAAAGTGGATTTTCCTCTCGGAATCTCTCTAGTGTATTCATTTGAATGCTTGCTTTCTTTTTTTAAAAAAACGCTCAAGTTTTTACCTTGTTATTGCAATATTTATAAACATTTTTTAATGGCATATGCACTTCATAAAACATCAGAAATATTTAGAATCAGTAAGCTTGAACCAACAAAGAAGGAAATTATTTCATTAGAATTTGTCTTAGTAATTTAAGGAAGTAGGTAGGCGATTATAACTTCATATTTACTTGACAGTAGTGGTGTGATCTTCATACTCGTGAATATGAACTTTTCAAGTAAATAGAATGTTAGTTTATTACATTTTTTTATCAACTACTTTCGTTGAATCTATGTGCTCATAACTGTTTTAACGATAGTGATCACTTGTAATTTTCTAAATATTATATAATATGACTCACCATATGTTATTACTTGGTGATGAAATACATTTAGATTCAATTTTGTTAACCGTATACTAATATCTTGACTAAATGAATTTGCTAAGCGAACAATCACTGTCAGAATAAATTTTCTGTTCTCCAAGGTCCAATGAGCATACGGGAATCCAACACTTGATCTTCTCCCTATATCTCTGGCTTCAAAATTCGTTTGATTTAATGCATGAATTACAGAACCAAAACACACCACAAATAAGAAATAGCGTGTAACATAGAACACAAATTTGGAAAGCAGTAATAATATTCATATGCTTAATCTGATGTACTTTGGGAACAGAGTACGATAGGACAACAATTAATGATTGAAATGAAACCCTTTAATTTGGGAAATGTAGAAATTACATGAATTAAATGCTACATTATGAAATAGGTGTAATGATATCTTGAAAATAACTTTCAAAGTTTTTGTTTTTTTAATTTGTCTCATCTCACCCCAAATACCCTAGTACGGCCGAGAGTGGGGAGAGTCCGCTCTCCCTCTCAAAATGCTCTCACATGGCCATGCGTATATAGCCTCTGCCAGGGAAGTCCTACTCACTGCCTTCTCGTGGCATTACTGGTGTTTACGAAAATGAGAGGACGAAAAGCGAGTGTCCGGCGCTTTAACCGGATTCCAAATCAATGGTGCACATGGGCTCCAGTATTCTGCGGGAACAAATGGTGTATGAACCAATTGTTGGTCACCGGCTACCATGGGACTGCATCTCCTGACGATGCTCCAATGCCTTGTGGATCAGACCTTCAGGTCGGAGGCTCGTGGAGTGGCCCCCTAAGAAAACCACTTGCTTCGGTTTGAGCACCCGGGCAGTATCACAGCCCTCACACATATCGAATGAGATTTGTGTGGCGCATATGTATTTGGTGCCTCTTTGTACCAATATCTATGTGTTGAAATAAACATCTCAACCATTGTTCTTCTGTCTGTTTTCTTTTCATATTTTTCGTTTAGATGTTATCTACTCTAGACCAGCACTTGGTGATGCATGAATAGGAATATTAATAATCGTATTTTGGTGAAATTATGATGGATATTTTTTGTGTGGAAATATCTGTTTTTGAATCATTTGTGTACGCATAAAAGCAATAATCTAAGTCAAGTTTTGATATGTGTGTTTATACTGTCTCCTGTTATTAAAAACAAACTTAAAATGATTCGATTTAAACAATACACATAATCTTCTTATTCATTTTTATTATTATTATTATTATTATTATTATTATTATTATTTTGACTATCAGCTTATTCTCTATTTGTCTTTTTTATTTTGTCAGTGGATATTCTAAGTGTATGCATTTACAATTTAGAAAGAGAGAATTATATATATCTATCTATTTTCTAGTGTGTTTTTGTTTCAAACTTTTTTTTAAAAAAAAACAAATTATTTATTTAAGTAAAGTTGTATCCGAATTAATAACATTCAGTGAAACAGTTATGAATATGTATTTTTTTCTCTATTTTGTTTTTCCTCTAATTTTTTTCGACTTCTTTTCTTTTCTTTAAAAATCATCGAATCACTTGTGCTCAAAATTGTCAATGTGTGCTTCCTTTGTGTATATGATTGATAATTGTTCAGTGAATTCTATTTCTCTTCCCCCCTCTCTCTCTCTCTCTGGTTCTCCCTTTTCTTGTGTCACATTCTTCATGATATATATGTGCAGGTTTGTACAGCCTTATTGTACTCCCTCTCTCTCTCTCTCTCTCTCTCTCTCTCTATATATATATATATATATATATATATATATATATATATATATATATATATATATATATATATAAAATTCTTGTAAAGGTATATTTTATTTGTCCCTTTTTATGTATATCTGTGTCACAGTAGTAATTTGTCTACAATATTGTCATGACGTATTGATAATGTAACACATTTGTTGAACTACCTTCTTAAAAAATTAGCTTGATTTTTAATAAACAAAGTATTCCTATTATTATCGGTTGTGAATTAATTAAAAGATGGTATATACACATATCATTGTTATTTTTAGCATTTATGTCTTATTGCAAGAAATTAGTAGTGTAATAGAAATATCTGGAAAAAAACTAGCGGATTTATATGAAATAGACCTATAATATTGATAACTATTAGGTCAAAGTACTGCACTACGTCAGGACTGCAACGTAGGATCAGCTTTATGTCGTGTATTGAAGCATGAATATTATTGACAACATTGATGAATATACTGTGAGCAAGGAGAAAATCAGGATCAGTGTACATTAAATAACTCATGTTTATTCAGTCACCAGCTTTTACAATGTAATTATCAACAAGATGCATGTTCACAGATTTCATGAGCGCACAGTAGATAGAATTCATTTTACTTGTAATGTGTTGGACTGATTTAAGATTTGCGTATGTTATGTATTTATTTGAACACATAAAGTCGATGTCTCAAGGTGCTGACACCAATTGGATTATCCTCTGCGCCCGAACCTCTGCATTACTGACATAGTGCTACCACTGGATGTCAGCAATCCTTCGGAGACAGCGATGATCAAACACAGGGAGTCGCCTAACATCTTCAACTCGGAGGGGCCAGGTTTCACAAGAATAGAGCAAAACTGCTCTCACCGACGCGTTGTAGATCCGACCTTTTACAGCCAGACTAACATCACGAAGGCGCCAAAGATGGCCCAGATTGGCATAAGCCGCTCTGGCTTTCACTATACGTGCATTGATCTCATCACTCACACCCCACCAGCACTTATGCAGCTACCCAGATACACGAACTTCCCTACTACTTCTATCTGCTCACCATCCAGGGTGAGTACAGGATTAGAATCCTGCCAGTCTTGTAGAAGTACTTTGCACTTCGAAGGTGCAAAGCACATACCATACCTACGGACACTGATTGCCAACTGATTAAGTGCGGATTACATGCCTTGGGCATTATCGCACAGTAAGACAATATCGTCCGCATACTCAAGGTCGAGAAGTCTTTCTCCAGGCAACAGATCCACACCACCATTACTTACATCCATCAGAGCTGTTTCCAGAATGTCATCGATGGCAAAGTTGAAGAGGAATGGTGAGATTGGGCAACCCTGTCTAACCCCACTGCTCGAATGGAACAATGGAGAGAGGTGGTTGTATGCCTTCACTCTGCCTGAGGTGTTTGTACATAGGGCCTTTTAGATGTTAATAAACTTCTCAGGCACACCCTTCTTCAATAGAAATTCTCAAAGAACAATATTGTTCAACGAATCGAAGACGGCCCTAATGTCAAGAAACACTACGATCGTTGGCACGTGATAAGTATGACGGTGTCCTAACATTTGGCGGAGGGTGAAGATATGATCAATACACCGTCAACCAGAACGACAACCAGCCTGCTCCTCGCGAGGTCATCTTCCTCGGGTTTTGAACAATCTATGAAGTATGACGGAAGCCAGTAGTTTGAATGCAATAGGAAGTAGATTTATCCGCCGATACTTGTTGCAGAAACGAAGTGAACTCTTTGCAAAGATAGGAACAATTATCGACTCATTCCATGATCTTGTAACGCTCTCTAGTCCACAGACTTATGTAAACAACACAGTCAGTTCCTTAGCCAGAAACTCATCATAATCTTTAAGAAGAGCCGGAAGTAAGTCATTTGGGCCAGGTGATTTGTAGTGCCTCAAGAGCTGAAGTTCCTTGTGGACTTCCGCCTCATTTGGTGGATCAGTCGTCACCGGCCATAGAGGGAAGTACAGTCTGACTGATGTTGCTGGAGCAGCAGCCCAGTTGAACTGCCCTTCGAAGAATTCTGCCCATCGTCCAAGATGTCGATTGGTGTTAGTGATTGGCATCCCGTCATCCTCACAAATTGTTTCGCTCACACCAGACTTCTTGCGGCCAATGGCTCGGATGAGTTGGAAGAGTTTCCGGTAGTTACCAGATGCGGCTGCTACTTCCAGCTCATTAGCACGCTCCGATCACCAGCTTTCTCGGTCCTTACGCAAGCTTTGCCCAATTTCATTACGTAACATCCTTCGTTTGTGGTGAAACTCACTGTCACCCGGAGTAAACCGACGGGCTTCGATGAGTTGTAAAGAACCTGAAGAAACCCAGTGCTTATAAGCGGGATGTTTTGCGAAACCGCAAGCGCCTTTACTCGCCATTTTCATGGCGTTATGACGTTGCAACCAACTTGCTGACATCAATCCGTTCATGACGATCGATTCGTTGGCTAATGGAAAGTAAGGTAAGATTGGCGCATACCAGTGCATGATCAGAGTCCAGATAAGTACTCCAAAAGAAGCGGCAGTCTTGTAGACAACCACACCAGCGGTAGCTGATCGCGATGTGATCAATCTGAGTCCAGGCTTGAGATGCAGAGGGGGGACGCCAGGTGGCACATCGGCGATGACTGTGCCGAAAGTTAGCACTAGCCAGAAGTAGGTTGTGGTCTGTGCACAGTTGCAGTAGACGGTCTCCGTTATCTGTCCTGCGACCAACAAGTCCCCATCGGCCACATAAATGGTTTTCTTCTGCGCCTAGACGCCCGACCTGAGCATTCAAGTCTCCAGCTAGTACCACAATAACTCTCGAAAGCACTTTCTGGAGAAGAACAGTTAACTAGTGGCAGAATTCATCCCTGATTGCATCCGGGCTGCAATCTGTCGGGGCATAGGCAAAGATGACAAAAAAACATTGTTTCTCACACCGATTTCTTCTCACTTCGATGGAAATTTCTAATCTAACAGCACATAGCCGACTGTTAATGGGGATCCAATCGGTTAGTGCTGCCCCAGCTCTAGCGCTCAGTGAGACACCAACGCCAGCAAGACCAGACGAAGATGCTACAGGGTCCTCGGATAAGCGCACGTAAAACAAGCTTTTCGAAGCGACAGATGGAGAGCGAATTTGTAGTACTTCGCTAGAGTCTTGAATACGGGTCTCGGATAGACAACAAACATCAATATTAAGACTTTCCAAAGACATAGCCAGCCCTATCTGTTGACCAACCTGCATAAGTGTGCGAACGTTGAAGGCAGCCAGTTTGAATGGTGCACGTGGTTTCAGAAAAACTGCTTCAGTACTCATATTCGATGGTAACATACAATTTTCAACCGGACAGTGACTCGAGAACGTTTAGATAGAGTCGAATTTCCACCAAAGACGAGCTGCTGTATAAGTCAAAAAAATAAGTATAGACAGAGTAGGAATAAAAGAGGGTGAATAATGTCGTAGTAAATAATAATAACAATAATATAATAAGTGATGATAATAATTTGAATCACTTGATTGTTATTCGAAGCGAGAAAAGTATTTTCCATAGATATAGAGAGTTCATCATTTGCGTGTGGGCTGTGATACTGCCCGGGTGCCCAGACCGAAGCAGGTGGTTATCTTAGGGGCCACACCCCGAGCCTTTGACCTAAAGGTCTAACCCACAAGGCAGTGGAGCATCGTGAGGAGATGCAGTCCCATGGTGGCCGGTGACTAGCGATTGGTTCATACGCCATTTGTTCCCTCAGGATACTGGAGCCCATGTGCACCATAAGTTTGGAATCAGGGTTTTCCAACTCCCCTAGATGGACTCTCTGTATCCATCAACCTAGTTAAATCGCCGGACATTGGCTTATCGTTATCTCAATTTCGTAAACAACACTCGTGGTGCGAGAAGGCAGTGAGTAGGACTTCTCTGCAGAGGCTGTATATGCGTGACCATGTGAGGGCATTCCGAGAGGGAGGGAGGGCGGGCCCTCCCTACTCTCGGTCATAGCAGGTCATTTGGAGGCAATTTTTGCGTATGTTACTCAAGATATTATTTCTCCTTTATTATTCTAAAATAAAGTGGGTTCATCATAAAGAAGCAAATATTTTGCCTAACAGAACGTTTCATTTTGCAAGACATCCTTTCCCATTGGGGAACAAACTTCAGTGAGTGGTCCATTCATTGACGTTACTATCAACTTTCAAGTCTCTTAGTTCCAACTAAAGATCACTATTAGTCCCTTCAGTGTTTAAAAAATGAAGCAGTGAAAAAGC